AGCAAAAGACATACCAACCTCTATGTAATGAGATAGAATGTTTGAGTGAGTCATCTCCATGATTTTTCAGGGTGGGGTTCTCACCTCGATGCGACAGAGGAAAAACCTCGGCAGAGTAAGCGAAAGGAACTGGTCCCTCGCCGACTGAATAGAACGCGGCAAACATAAAAACGAAAAGAGAGATACAGGCTAGATGTGCAGTCTGCTCCTTCGGTATGTAAAAGCAAAACCCTGCAGCCAACAATGTCCAGGCCATTTGGGGGAAAGTAAACAAGAGAAGGGCCCTGCGTCCGTATGTATCAATGGTGAACACAGCCGGAAAGGCGAACAGGAAGTTGACCAGACCAAAGCCCCACGAAGCAAGCAATGCCTCAGTCATATTCGCCCCAGCTTGAGCAAAGATTGTGGAGGAATAGAACGCCACAATATTAATACCGCACATCTGCTGGGCAAGCATGACTGTCCCTGACGCAAGGGTTGCACGGCGGACACGCGGGATAGTGAACAATTCACCAAGACGCACCATAATATTGTTCTTACCAACAAGCTCTTCTTCAATCTTGATCTGGGTATAGATGTAGTACAGGTCTCTGGCGGCCTGCAAATCACTGTTACGCAACTTGCATAGCGACTGGTATGCTTTCCTTACTAAACCCTTCTTAAGATACCAGCGAGGGGATTCAGGGCATAAGAACACCCCAAGAGTCAGAGGAAGGGCTGGAATAAAAGCTGAGCCGAGCTGTAGGCGCCAGGATATGGCACCCGTGTCTTTGACAGCAAGGTTTGCGCAAGTCCCGAGGAAGATTCCAAATGCGGTCCACAATTGCCAGGACATAACCAGGCCGCCACGAATGTTTGCAGGGGTGTTTTCAGCGCAGTATATGGGGATTGTGGCTCCTTTCAGTCCCATCCCAATACCCATCAAGAGGCGAGTGACAAATAACTGAGGCCAGGTTTGAGAGACAGCAGAGCCGATTGGAGTCAGCAAACAGAAAATAGCAGAGATAAAGATGACGCCACGACGGCCCAGATACTTGTTCAGGGGGTCGGAGAGCCAGCAGCCGCCAAACGCAGTTGCGAGGTAAGGCGCACTAGTTTCCATATCAATAGATGAGCATGTGGAAGGGTGAAATACGTACGAGTTCAGAATACCAACAAGCCACTGGTTTCTAGCCTTGAGTTCACCTTTCTCTGGAATACCAAGGGCATCAGGAAAAGACAAGTTGGCACCTAATTGAAGGAGGTAAATAGGCGTTCAACCGCAAGGTTGTCAAGAATATGTACCATTACTTCCCGTCTGATCCCATCCCCTGATGAATAATTAGCGATTGCTATAAGTGAACGTAATAGACAACGAGTCGCCAAGGTACATACTGGACGGCAGCCCCAATAGAGCAAAGGCCAATGGTAAAATAGAGCGGCCATGGCTGGCGCCACTTGTGGGTAGTCTCGTTAGTAATGACTGTGATTTCGTCATCAGTCATATTCTCAACGGTCTCAAAGTTGTCTGGGTCCCTCGCAATCAGAGCACCCTTCTTCAGGTGATCCAGAATGTCCTGCAGCCCATGCTCATTGGCGAAGTGCTCAACATCTTGAAGAACTTGAGCGGGGGTTAAGTCTGCCAGAGGGTTCTTGATCCTAGAAGGATACATTAGCCTTCAATCGCTCAGAAAGGGAGATGCTGTGAATATGACTGCAAGTGAGAGATAGCTTACTTGGCAGAGGTGTTCTTGTTGAGGTTGATATGCTCAACATGACCTTTCTCAGAAGCGCCATGATCATCGCTGAGGCTGTACAGAACCTGTTAGCAAGGGCTTCTTTGGGGACGGACTATAGATGGCAGAGACTACGAACCGTTGCTCCACGTGTGACATTAGATCACCAGAAGGTGTGTCTCCATCCGACTTCACTTTGGAGTCGTCCATGATCACTGAAGCTTGCAGAAAGAGACGAATAGAGAAAGGTGAATTCAGTCAGCGATTGGGAGGGTTATAGTTTCGATGACTGAGGTGGGAGAGAGTTAACAGTACTTCGCAAAGGGATAAGGTGGGAATAGGGAGGGAGAAAGAGTTTAAGAAGGGAAAAGTGCGGGGGAGACGCAGACAAGATGAAAAAAGAACAGTGTCATGCGATCTAAAAGGGGAAGGTGTCAGTCATGGAAGCCCTGAGAAATAGGGCTCCAACACAGCAGGTGATGCTTCCCCAGACGGGGTTACCAGCAACCATTGCCCAATCAAAGTGTGACTGTATTCACCTGGGCAGTTAACACTTCTTTCTCTCCATGGTTCTACTCCTGTTTCCCCGTGGGAATCCCCAACCCCGTACTCACCACCAGGTAATCCATCCCTAATATTTTGTCACTGGACCCTACTACTAGTAGATCTTACCCGGTAGTATGGTGCAATATACCCACATTTTCATCTTTCCCCTCATGTTCTCTTTCAACTCAAATGCAGTAACAGAACAATAAAACACTGGGAAGAGGGGCTCTGGTGAAGCCACTTTATCCAATCCTTTGTAGAAGAAGTAAGCTCTACTATATTGTATATTGTATATTGTCTAAAAGTTCTTTATAGCATGGGCAGAGAGATCCATTCTGTGAGGTTTTTTTTTAATCCTTAGCCATTTTTATACAATTATAGGTGTTTCTAACCACTCCCAAATCTGACTGCCGCTGAGCCTCTAGAGCTAATTACTAAGGAAATCTTGGTGAACTAGATAGATTATAGCTAGTACTGTTTAGATGTAAATCATGCATACCAAGCGTTTCTGGTGGAGTACGTACTACTGTAGTAGCTGTTCCTGGAACTCAAAGCACGCCAAGTCCAGAGTATCCTGTCTATGACTTGTGTACAGCGGACTGCCCGCGTTTTGGAAGCAGAGAGCTTCTTGCATCGAGTAGTCATAGACAGTGCTAAGGATGTAAGGTAACAAGATGTAGACTGTAGTCTGTGTAATTATTGGTAGGTCAGGCAGGAGAGGAAAAATGATACTGCACCCAAGCTACGTTTCTCATGAGCTGAACAACTGAAGTGTACTAGCGATCTGGCGATTGGTCACTCGGGTGGGATTGAGTTGATGCACTAATCCTCATGTGGAATAGTACAGCCGGTTCCAGCCCCAGTTCAATTAGTATTTAGTACCGACTAGTAGCACTGCGTAATAGTGACGAGAACGACAAGCGAGTCTATTCATACATTATGGGGGGTTGTCTTTTTATTTTTTTTTATTTATTTATTTTTATTTATTTATTTTTATTTATTTTTTCTTTTTTTTTTAAAAAAAAAACTCTTTATTTGCATTGTGATTTCATTTTCAATATCCTAATATCTCCTATTGTTGCTTTCATTCATGGTCCCATGTGTACGACAATACAACGAGAGTTCGCGGGTGGTTATTCCGGGATGACGAGAGAACTTCCATCATCACAACCACACTGTCTCCATAATCTGCGAATCATAAATATACCAGCACCAATGGTAAAAGGTGACCATCCACCTAACGGAATCAACCCTAGAAATCCCCAGGTTCGAGAAGCCGAGGTGGATTCACAGCCCGTCAGAATGACCCAACTCGGGGAGTATACCGAGGGCTGAACCAGATTAATAAAATCTAACATTTTAGGTTAAGGAGTATCATAGCTGGTCGATATTGGAACAGAAAACCGAAGCAAGATTAGGTCGACACGGACGCCGAACCCCAAGTCTCAGGCTACATTACCCTGAATCAAATCAAACAAAAGTTAATTATTCTACATTTGCTGTGTCCAGCGTTGTCCCAAGGTGTGGATACGTTTCCTTAGCTGGAGATGACGAATGGCGGCTGAAGAAATCTCAACAGACGACCACTTCTATTCATTTGATTCGGGACTATGATTTGTCAGGGGTTCTACGCTCGCAGTTCATCTTTCAATTCGAGTCGGAGTACTGTTCTTGCGGAGCATCAACGCATGGGAAAGGATACACTTTGTATGTCCTGCTATACACTCATAGACTTGAGATCTTCAAATTAACTGTGTAGCTATATAGTTTCTATCAATAAGCTCCCCATAGAATGGCAAGGCAAATACTGCGGCGCTACTTCGTACAGGAACCCTAACTCATACCAGCACACGGGCCCTTCCTTGTCACGGGAATAAATTTCCATTTGTCACTCAATGGTATTCATCCTTTAATAACCTGGAGGATTGCGAATGAGATGTCTCGGTTCATGTGTAAAGAGATACACTGTTCAACGTATCCAACCTGTATCTCTTGTAGTACTATCATCTATGTGTCAGTCCTGTTGTTACTGAAACAGGAGCATCACAAAACACGACGAAACGCTATATAGTTTAGAGTTTCGCCGAAGTAGTCATCCGCAATATTAGTCAGAGCCTTTGCATTTGTCTACATCAGTTTAAGTTAACTGGGACGTACTTAAACATTTTCCAGAAGAGAAGGAAGTGGTCCGCCGTTCACACTGGGTTTCTGCATCGTGCCCTTTTTCTGAGAACACAGTCCACAGAAAACAAGGGACTTATATGCGAATAGTACCATCATCTGATGGCTCAGGATAACTCACTGAAGCCAGTTTCACCTTGTTAACCGCTACTAGCCAAACCCTATAGTAACATCAGATTCCGAGAGGCTTGATATTCATACAACCTGGCGCAGTAGATGGAACTACATCATCGTGATAGATTGATCCTTTGAATGTTTATTCCATCTAGATTTAGTTAGATTACTGATATGGTGATGCAGCATGCTAGTGCCTTCATTTTATATATAGCCTTGAGTTTGGGACAGCGCCCAGTTCTACTATATTTCCTTAAAGGGTTAAGGCACTTCGTAGCCATAAGTCACGTGTGTTAGCCCCAGAGAGAAAGAACCGCCACATCCAGTTCCGAGATGCTTGTTCGTAGTTCGACACTGACGTGGCATCGACCCATATATCCGGAAATATGCCTCCATTGCTTTACGTTACATAGAAATGTATGCGGATTCTATGCCAGCCACAAAATGGAGTTTTCTCAGTCAAGTATACCATCCGTGCAGGATCTCCTGCGTTCCGGGGGGCTGTTTGTGCCATTTTCCGAGTTTCCGGTTCAGGCCATCTATGAAACCCCTGGCTGGTTTGAAAAGAAGCTACAGGAAGGAAAGCCGTTCGTGATTCGTGGACTAAATCAAACTGATCGCTGGGACGCATCAACTTTGAACAATGGGTGCTTGGTTACATCATCTTCCTCGGGAGGTATGTATCTAACAGTTGCATGACAGATATCTCATATAGATTTTCTGACATCTGTTCTCGGGTTTCTCTACTTAGCTATACCAGTAAGGAACTGTCAGACTGGTCGCGATGTTAGGATGCGGCTTCGTGATCTGATACCAACGGACCACACTCGTGCTGGTCACGCTCGGGAATCGTATGTCAAAAAGGAAACCTGCCATTACAAGTCTGTGACATGTTTTGTTGACTGCCATAGTAGGCTCTACGCGAAAGACCTTCAATGTCCTGTCGAGTGGATCAGAGCGTTGAAGGCCGTCTTGCCTTCTTGTTTAATGCAACTAGGCTCGTTCGACTTGTTCCGAGTATTACCAAAGGAAATCACGCCCGAAGTGTTGATGGCTTACGTTGGAACACAGTTGTCCTTGTACGTAGGCTGCGGATATGATGCGAAACTATTTGCTCATGAATCATATTTCAGGTCCGGTTTCCACAGATGTTTTAGTGGAACAGTTGCACTTAATCTGATGATCGAGTCTGAAGGTATGTAAATACCCCTCGCTGCACCAGTCTTTCTTAGGGCTTACCCTTGTATAATAAAGAAAGCCGATATGGATCATTGTGCTTTGGCACAGATCAACGCTCACAGGAAAAGTATGACGCGTTTATGGAAGGGCTTGGAAAGTCATCCCACACTGATTGGGCCAATATCTCCATCGCGCAAATGGAATCTGCCAATTTCCCGATATACGTCACTCATCAAGAGCCTGGGGACTTGGTGATATTTCCTTCAGCAACTGCTCATCAAATATGGAATGTCAGCCCCATGGTGACGAAAGTGGTTTGGAACATCCTGCATGCATCCTCGATTCCATCATTTTTTGATTATATCCAGCCTGTATATCAAAAGCAATGCTATGCAGACACAGGCCGAGTTCCCTTGATACCAATACATGCACTCCGTGACAGCAGTCACAACCCAGAAGAGACGAAACTGCTTGTAGATATGCTTCAACAGCTAGTCGATGACGAGGATACTGGGTGTGACTCATCTGTGCCTATTAAACTTGTGGATACACAAGGAGCTGTGGTGGAATGTAACTTTTGCGGATTGACGATCTGGAACCGACACTTACACTGCGAACAGTGTGGAGATTTTGACCTCTGTCTAACATGTTACGTATCCGGAAGGAGTTGCAAGCATGTTGGTGACTATACTTGGGCTGAGCTATTCCGGAGCGAATATTGCCGAACCCTCATCAAGACTACTCGAGATAGATTAGGCGGCTATTCCCCCTCAGACACAGGACGACCGAAGTATGGCTCCCCTAATCACTATTAGACCGGCATGCCTTAGCTTGCCTGTATAATAGTCTATTCAAGTTTCGATTTCGCCGGGCCCAGGGAATATCATTCAGCTAACCTATATACTAGACGAAAGACTTTGGGCGCCATGGCTCTGGTAGCAGCGGAAGCGCGACGACAATCCTCAGTAAGTTCACATGAGCTTTATACTAGCCTTTGCGATGGCTTGATTAATATTCAAGCTGACAACGCCTAGGAACGCCTCTGTCACCTCTGTCGTGACAGTCACCCTATCTGGAAGGGAATAACATGCTCTCAATGCTCAGCTTTCTTTTGTTATCGTGGCTTGTATAGGCACTTCGATATTGATCTCCTTAAGTTCCTCAGAAATGAAACCTCATGGGTTTGCCCGAAATGCTCACAAATATGCAACTGTCGTTGTTGCCATTTTTCTCATCCATACCAAAGCAAGGATAAGCCCGTCCGAGCTCGGATTAAGCCTGTTGATCCACGAGGTCGCATCTCCGGCTTCGTGGACAACGTATTTGACCAGAAGAGAGGCAAGAGAGCTGTCTCTGTTACACAAAGTGCATCGCCACAAAACACTTTGGACCCTCGGGGACAGAAACGACATAGGCTGCCAAACGACGATGGTCACGAAAGGTCGCTACACGAAGCTATACATTCCTCCTCTGAGAGTGTTGAGCCCGCTCAGAATAGAAGGTCAGATATTGTTGCAGATGCTGATGTTCCCCCTGGCCTTCCCATGCGTGGCAGTTCGACAGGGTCTTTCAATTCAAAAGGGCAGCTCCGCATCAGTGATCTCGTGGAGGACAGAAGCTCCCCGGACAAAAGTTTCCATCACAGTCGGCATGTAGAAGCTCATATCCCGCTCTCTTCTACGCCAAAAAATACCCCTTACCGATATCCTCATGAACCCAACAATCACATCGCTAACGCCCCGAATCCCATTGATGAGGAAAACATCCCCTCTCTTGAAAGGAAGCTAGGCGCTCTGCGCCAATACGCGGACGGCCTGCTTGAGCTGTCTCTGATCGATTCACATGCCAAAGTCCTTGACAAGATCTCGGATATAGAAGCTCGAATTGAGCGGAAAAGGCGACAGAAGGCCGAGTTGCTTTTCAGTGGCTTGAACCGAGATTTTCCTGACTTGGCAGATATGGCTATGGAAGAGGCACGACGGCGGGGGATTTGAGAGAGACGCATCGTTTTGTTTCATTATCTTAGCACAAGAAGCTGTTGGTCTATGTATTATTGAATTTTTCCCCTCTTCTCTTTACCATTCGGATTATTTAGTGTTGTGAGATTCGTGCGATATATTTACTGTAGCCGCTAGACAAATAGAGACGATGTGATACTATATATAGTCATCCAACAAAGCGAGCCGTGAGTTGTACAAACATCTGCAATACCTAAAGCGGCGAAAGGATGCCGATGTATGTTATTCTACTTTGCAGCATTGCTAGAAAGGAGATCTCTGAAAGGGCGCTTCGTGGACAAACACTCCATATGAAACTGCGCTGGATTCTCTTGACGGAAGTCGCACAAAGGGAAACAAAGAGAGATCGAGTCTAAATCCACCGTCACTCCAGTTGTTAGGATATACTACTCGGACTAGTACATTCTTACGCCAAGAAGGCAAGAGGAATCATGGATGTATGTTGCATGGGAGTTTGTTTAAGCAGAACCGAAACCATGGAAAACAGCAAAGGCGGAGGAGTTCCCACTGGCGGCCGTCGATCGCCCAGTCCTCCGCATCCCATTCGTTCCTCTCTTTCAATCTCCCCCTTCCACCCTTCTTCTGGCACCGTTACGCTGTACAAGGGAGTTGGCCTTCGGGCATACCAGATATCTTTTTCATAGGTCAAATCATTACCTTCACTCGATGTTGCTGGTACCTACATTCTTTACGCGCATTCTCAACTTGATACGCTCAACCTGATCAACTGGTCTATCATATCCCAGCCATTCCCTTCTTCCCCTCCCACACCCCTCCGCCGAGCTACGATTGCCTGTGTGAATTGTTCACATAGAAGATAAAGCATTACGAACGTGCTTTCTCAAATTGTCTGGCTCTTTTGCCAAGTATCTCCGTTATAGGCTACCACACTCTTCAGTTGCGACCTCTTTGAACTGCGTTCTCGCGCTCTCTCCCTTTGAGGTTGTCGGTGTCAGTCAGTCTAAACACACTAGATATCCCTGACCGCCTCCACAACCCACGACGACCGGAAGCTATCTCTTTCGCACCGTCGCACGATCTTCTCTCCTTCGATCACCCTGACCATCTTTCGATCGGCGTGTTTTCCCCTCTGGAAGATACTACGGAGAACATCAGTTTGCTCACATACTTCTCACCGCTCGCCCCATTATGCCGTGCTTCAAGGGTCTCGCCGTGAGTATACACACTCCGGACGGCCCTATTTCCGAGTACTCGATCCAACGCCAATCCCGAGCCTCTCGCATAGCTTGTTACATTCCCGTACCTCCACCGAAGCTACCAGGTTCAGCTACCGGAAAACCCGAACAATCCACCTTTGCAGTTTCAATCACATTGCTGAATCCTGGTCAGGATGTGCCCTACTCTACCCCAAAATCGACACCGGAAAACCCCACACCTAAGCCCAAGGTTGTTGGGGGTCTTCCCGGCCAAACGGCAGAGCGAGGCCAATATAGTAGCATGGTGGCACCGTATCAGCCGCTGACAAACTCTCCGAACGAGACGGTCGCAGCTTATATCTACTTCGACGGGCGACAAAAGGAAGAGGTCGCTACTTTGCTCCGGAGAGGCGAGGAGACCTGGGTGAACTCACGATGGGTCAGTGTCCCTGAGTCAGAAGGAGGTGGCCTTGCTGAACGGGAATTCCTCTTCCGTGAGGTAGGGTTGGAGCGCTGGCTCAATGGCTTAGACCTAGAAGGGAAGGATGTGGCCGCGAAGATTGAGCGGAGACGGCAGAAGATGGAAAAGCGTCGTCTAAAGCGTGCGTCGGCCGATGGCAACAGTGACCTGGACATGGACTCCAAGCATGACAAGGGCATCATGCGCTATGGTGACGACGCGAAATCACCCCTCGAGGACGTTTCGGACGATGACATGTCTTTCTCCGATTCGGACGACGACCCTATTCCTGAGTCTGCAGGGCAGATCAAGGTGGCTTTGTTCCGTGTTCTGGCCTCGGGGGAGGTCAAACGTGGTGAATACTCGCCGCAGTTCGATGCTCATGATGACGACGACGAAGCCCAGCCAGACGGGAATGGTGGGACAGATGCAGATGTCGACCATACAACGAGTTTTGCAAAGCCCAAGACCCTCGACCCCAAGACCATCAGCACACAAACGGTCACCGGGATCGACCCATCCGACAAGCCTTATGCTATTTTCACATTCATGTATAGAGGAGAGCGTAAGTCAATCATCACTTCAATACATCTCTTCTACTATACTAACCATCTACAGGGCAATTGCAGAAAATGGGCATGTTAAAAGATCCCAAGTCGCAAGAAACTCCTGGCTCGGCAAAGCGCAGATCACTTCAGCCGGACTTCGCTAATATTGGTCCTTTGAAACCCGGTGGCACAGTTGGATTCTTGAACTTCCGGGACAGTTCCGAGAACAAGCAGAAGGGAAAGAAGAGCAAGGCCGCTGGAGATGACGACATGGACAGTGACGATGATGACGATGATTCGATCTTGGGTAAAGCCGACGATGAAGAGGCTAAGGAGGACGATCAGCATCTGTCACCAGATGATATTAGACGCCAGGGGGAACTGGCCGAGGGCGTTCGTAAGATCAAGGCAAGTAAAACCTGAGGCCTTCGCCTTAAGTTGCGCTAACGGAAATACAGCTCAAACGCCAACACTCCTCAGCATCTCTGGGCACTAGTACCCCCAAAACGGACACCGCTAGTCCCCAGCCGTCAGGAGAGACTCCTGCAGCATCCAGTATCTCCACCACCCCTCCAACTGCACCAGCAGTCCTTGCCGGCATACCCGAGGTCCCCAAGCCTGCGGCAAATAATCTAAACGGAGAGTTCGTGGGGAGCCCCTTAAAGAAACAAAGAGCTAGTGTATCCCAAGCGGATGAGAACGCCTTGCGACGGAGGATTGAATCAGGGTTATCTCAACCCGTCAGCGGAGCTTTGGATAGTGCCGCTTCAGAGGGACCTCAAACTGCAGGGGCGGATTCCAGCTCCTTTGGGGCCCAGCCTCAACCAGTTTCACAGGAGAATGAGGACGAAGAGTTGTGATGAAGCTATCTCGATGAACATATTATTAGTTATATGAACTTACTGGGTTCAACATGACTCCCAATTGGTTCTCGATCGGGGAATTCCCTCCACTACCACGTCGGAACGCTAACTTAGCAATCTTCGATAATCTATATCCTAAGCTTTAGTTATTTTGTTTTGGCTGGCACATATACAAACTATGTGAACAACGTTTCATCTCTTTTTGTTGCCGTGTTTGGAATGGGGAACACTCTCAAAAGATTATCTTGATGGCTATGATGGATTGGCGTAAGTGGACCAATCGATAGCCACCTAGTTGGTTTTTTCTTTCTTTTCTTCTTTCTTTCTCTTTCTACTTGGGGACTTCTACTTTTCTTCTCTCTCTCTCTCTCTCTCTCTTTTTAACGTTTTGACGATGATAACGACGGTATGGAGACTATTCTGGATTATGTGCATGAGTTGGAACTACCTTGTGCTGGATGGTCCTAGGGCTCTCGCCTACAAGGATCTAGAATTCTTTACTTGATACTTTTGAAAAGGTCTGGGGTATAAGTTAATTGCTATAGAATAAATGGATCACGCGAGGTACAAACATACGATTGATTTGAATCTGAAGAAGCTGGGATCTTACCTGTTTCTATCTTATCGTTCGGGAACTACGTACGTAACTTACGAATTAAATTGATTAAATAATTCAAATAATTTACCCCCGCAACGTCACAGGGAAACTTCTTCACCCCCACTTTTTTCCCACTCACTCAAAGGCGCAGATGAACACAGGTCTCTGAAGCAAAAGTCCTTACTTGGTTGCTCTTAGATTTCGAGTGAAGTAATAACAATTTGCACATAAACGCCGTCAAAATGCCATTGGCACGCTCATCTGATCCACTGGTGTGGATAGACTGCGAAGTACGCAACCTCCTCTTCGACTCTACCACGATTCCCTCCATATATATGTGATACCTAATACACGCCTGAATCACACAAACAGATGACAGGCCTAGATTCCGAAAAGGACCAAATCATCCAAATTTGCTGCTTCATCACGGACGCCAGCCTCCAACTCCTCGACCCCCACGGATTCGAAACCGTCGTCAACGTCTCTAAGACCACTCTGGACAACATGTCACAATGGTGCATCGACACTCACGGTCATACAGGATTAACTGCCGCCGTCCTTGCCTCCACCGTTACACCTGAATCCGCTGCCTCCGAGCTATTGGCGTACATTCAGCAATATGTGCCACAGCCTCGCACGGCACTGTTGGCGGGAAATAGTGTGCATGCGGATAAGGCTTTTTTGTCGCGGGGTCCTTATGCGAAGGTCCTGGAGTGGTTACATTATCGGATTTTGGATGTGAGCACGTTTAAGGAGGCAGCGCGACGATGGGGTGCGGATGAGTTGCTAGCTGCTGTGCCTAGGAAGAAGGAGGTACATTTGGCGAAGGATGATATTCTGGAAAGCATCGAGGAGATGCGATTTTATAAGGAGAGACTGTTTGGGAGTGGAGGGAATTGAATGAGAGGGTTGATTAGACCGATTTCTAGTTGATCACTGCTGCTGTTACGACTGTTGCAGCGTATGCACACCGACGCTTGGGTAGGCTGTGCTGATTTACTTTCCCTGACAGAGCACGCCACATCTGTAGAAGGTAAGGCTGTTGTCCTTCTGGCTGGCATCACCATGGACCATGAAGGGTGATAAAAGCCTGCTCCTCGAAACCTCCCGCTGTGACTTGGCTGAGTCCGGGGATTTGCCTAAGATGGGCTGCGACCTTCTCTCACATCTTGTATAAGAACAGCACCTAGTGCTAGAAATTTTGCAGCCACATCCTATCTTTCTTTCTTTCTTTCTTTCTTCGCCTTGCCCCAACACATCATTCAAGGAAGAGACCCCTGTTCTACTGTGTCAATATGGGGGCCAGAAAGCAGTGTACCACGAACCCTATAACAACTCGCTTTAACCACTATCTTTGATTCACACAATCTTGGAAGTGAAACTAGTCGCAGTCATGGTGACGTGAGGGGGAAGATGGGCATTGACTGCATCTGACAACGGGACAGCAGTTAAGTCGGCAATGCGCGAAGTCGCAATGATAAACAGGCTGCTATTACTTTCATCCTGGGGCTATCTGTTCACTCCGTCCGGAGTACCCCCCTGCAATCTTACGACTTGCCGAAGGGTCTAGATTTGAATTCATTCATAAGCAAAGGTGATAAGAGGCCGTCGACAGCAGATGCAGTGGCAGAGCCCGTGGTCGATGAGTTGTCCGTGTACTTTGGCTCTGACGGGGTGAAGCGGCCCAATCATTCAGGGGCGTCCGTGTCCCAAAGTTTAGAGCTGCAGCTATTAAAATAGCTCCATTGGGACCTGTCCAACAATCAACTAGATTAAAGACTCTACAAACTGAGGCAAATCCGAGGGATAATTTGACATTCTCTTCTCACTTTCGTCAAAGTGGATAATCGTATAGAAAAGGGGGAGACTCATAATAAATAGAATGTCTTAGAAATAGTTTTCTATAATGAATCTATTTTTAAAATTTAGCTAATTGTTTCTTGAGGACTTTTCCGCCTTCCATGGGGGTCGTCGCCGCCTTTGTGCTGGTACCTGAGCCCTTCCAACCACTCATTGATGGCTTATGGACACTCACCCATCCTTCCAGAATTGCCTCTATTCGCTCAGTCTACCGCTCGTTTTCTTTTTCTTTCTTTCTTTCTTTCTTTTTTTGTTTCAAAGAGACAGGTATTGAATATCTCCATTGTTCCTACAAGAGAATTTCACATCTTTTCTCTTTGCAATGGCCCATCAATGAAGGCGCCTTCGACTTCGATCAGAATTGCGATATGTGCTTGTTTATTCTGTGACAGTCGTGGATTCGTACCTCAGGTGGTAATGGGCCGTCAAGGACTCAAAGCTGAGCAGATGCCACGTTACCTGAGTTTTTCTCTTAGTTAAAGGCAAGCATTTCTGCTTCAGATGTTCTTCATTGACTGGGTTATATACATAGACCATGCTTGGTTAAGCCCCATACTCGGGCCAAGAATAGCCTCTATGTACAGCACTTGCCATGTTCGCAACTACTACCAGAACTAGACCTCTTTCTGATATCCAGGCATACTTCACATTACGTATAATTAGAACAGGTCTGCCTACACAGAACTTGAACGCCCCGTTTTCCTCTGATCTATAAGCAAGACACTACCAGTATCTATTGTATACAAGCCACACCTACACCCGCTAACTGGCGAAGATGATTTCTACTTCCTCTTCTGGTCTCACCTTTTATTCAATCATAACAACCCGGTGTATTGCTAAACACCGCAGCAACAGTACTGCGCCTGCATTTGATACCAATGGGTCCGATCAAGCCTGGCTCCACGCCATATCCTTCTTCTCGAGCACCTCGACAGGCGCCTGTGGCCTCCTGCAGCCCACCCATATCTACCAATGACGGCTTCATAGAGGAACACTATCGTGCTGGTGGTCCAAATCTTTGCGGGTTTCCTCCTGTGTTTTGCAATCCCATCCAATGTGAAAACTTTCCTATGCTAGATGTTCTAACCGTCGCAAAGAAATGGATTATACCGGTGATAACTTTTTATCTTGATGAGTTCAGGCCACGATTCAATCTTGCCAAGGAGCCTGTATCCACTATACGTCTCAGGGCGCCGAGAGAGTCCAAGGAACGTTGGTTGGGCGCTGCCCGAGAGATATACCAGTGCTTGTGTCGAAATGGCCTTCATCATTTTGCAATAGAGATCCTGGGTCAATCTTTGGACATTAGTGCCCATAGCTAGCCACATGAATCTATGGGTGAGAATGAAATTAGTATATCAAACATAGGAAATTGATACGCCGAGTATTCGAGTTGTTGAGATCTCTCTCAGTCTTAAATGTAGTCAGAGAGGCTAATTACCTTCTGCGCACGCACTTGGACCATTTGTCCCCACGCGCGGGGCCTCGATCCCTGGGAAAAAACAAGAGCGGCGTTAAGTGGGGCGGAAGAGGGGCACTGATTTGGGCCTGAGGTGTACATACATGAAATCATGCTGATGACGGCGCGAGTGTTCAACGCATGGTTTTAGTTTGAGTTGGTGCCCCTCCTTTATTTATCTTCCTCTCTCTCTCTCTCTTCTTCCGATCCCTCCCCCGATTGTCGGTGAGCAATCTCAATTCCCTATATAATATCCTCTTATCTTCCTCTCCTTTCTTCTCCTCTCTCTTTTCCTTTTTCTCCCTCCTACCACTATCCTTGTCATCATGTCCGTCCAGACCGTCTCCTTCCAATCTTTTACTGACCAGAAGCCGGGAACGTATGTCTCTTATCTATATCTATCCATTTTAAGATATTGTTATATCATAGAGCCGTTGCTAACCTTTATAGCTCTGGTCTTCGTAAGAAGGTCAAGGTCTTCCAGCAGCCCAACTACTCCGAATCTTTCATTACCAGCATCCTCCTCTCCATCCCTGAAGGTGCCAAGGACGCTTTCCTCGTCATTGGTGGCGACGGCCGCTTCTATAACCCCGAGGTCATCCAGAAGATCGCGAAGATCAGTGCCGCCTATGGCGTCAAGAAGCTCCTTGTCGGCCAGAACGGCATCTTGAGCACCCCGGCTGCCAGTAATCTCATCCGTGTACGGAAGGCCACCGGTGGCATTCTGCTGACTGCCAGCCACAACCCCGGTGGTAAGAGCAGCATGGAACTCTTTAGATTGAGCAATTGCCCCAGCTAACTCTCATGTCATAGGTCCCAATGCCGACTTTGGTATCAAGTACAACCTGTCCAACGGCGCCCCCGCCCCCGAGACAGTCACCAACAAGATCTACGAAACCTCCAAGACCCTCACCTCTTATAACTATATTGAGACCCCCGAGATTGATCTTTCCAGCATTGGTTCCAAATCCTACGGCCCATTGGAGGTCGAGGTTGTCCACTCCACTACCGACTATGTCAAGATGATGAAGGAGATTTTCGACTTCGACCTGATCAAGGAATTCCTCAACACCCACAAGGACTTCAAGGTTCTGTTTGATGGCATGCACGGTGTCACTGGCCCCTACGGCGTCGATATATTCGTCAAGGAGCTGGGCCTGCCCAGCAGCAGCACCATGAACTGTGTCCCTAGCCCTGACTTCAACGGTGGTCACCCTGACCCCAACCTGGTCTATGCCCATGAGCTGGTTGAGGCCGTTGACAAGAACGGTATCCACTTCGGTGCTGCTAGCGATGGTGACGGTGACCGCAACATGATCTACGGTGCTAACACCTTTGTGTCTCCCGGTGACAGCTTGGCCATCATTTCTCACCACGCCAAGCTCATTCCCTACTTCCAGAAGCAGGGTGTTTACGGTTTGGCCCGCTCCATGCCCACCTCCGGTGCTGTCGACCTGGTCGCCAAGGCACAGGGTCTGCAGAGCTACGAGGTTCCCACCGGCTGGAAGTTCTTTTGCAACCTGTTCGACAACAAGAAGATCTCAATCTGCGGAGAGGAGAGCTTCGGTACTGGTAGCAACCACATCCGTGAGAAGGATGGCTTGTGGGCCGTCGTCGCATGGCTGAACATCATCGCTGGTGTGGCCAAACAGAAGCCAGACCAGACCCCCAGCATCGCTTCCATCCAGAACGACTTCTGGCAGACCTACGGCCGCACTTTCTTCACCCGCTACGACTACGAGAACGTCGACAGCGACGGCGCCAACAAGGTTATTGCTATCCTCTCCGACAAGGTCGCCAACAAGGACAGCTTCGTCGGCTCCACCGTGTCCGGCCGCAAGGTCACCGATGTGGGCAACTTCTCCTATACCGATTTGGACGGCAGCGTATCCAAGAACCAGGGCCTGTATGCCAAGTTCGATGATGGCAGCCGCATCGTCGTTCGTCTGTCCGGCACCGGCAGCAGCGGTGCCACGATCCGTCTATACATTGAGAAGTACGAGAGCGACAAGAGCAAGTTCGGCCTCACTGCATCCGAGTACTTGAAGGACAACGTTGCTCTTGCCCTTTCTCTGCTCAACTTCAAGGAGTTCATCGGCCGCGAGGAACCTGACGTCCGCACTTAAGTGACTATGATTTAATGTTTGTAAATATTGTGCCACAAGCGTATGTGAGGTGCAGTGTTCTTTATGATGGGAAGAAGCAAAACCCATCCATGGACAAATTTCATTCTAAGATAGTTAATCGCATAGCAGTATAATCATAACTCATATCCCAGTCCATAACCGGTTCATTACTGTGCGCCATAACGTCATATCATATCATTAACCACCCCCAGAATCCCTCTACCGTCATGATAACGAGTAGAACCAATAATTTAGTCACAAGCCGACCTCGTCCCCAGCGAATCTTGAAGTTTCCCCTCCCACCAATCCTTCCACCGAACCACCTTCTCCTCCCGCCTCGCCTCTTCCGCCGCGAACACAACCGCATGACTCCTTACCGCTTCCTCCAGTGTACAGCCCACGAAGCATCTCTGCGCACGCTCGACCTCCCACCCCTGATTAACTACCGCATCCACGGCACGGACAAAGCTCCTCGCCAGACCGTAGTCGCCCCCGCCATGAGACTCCTTCTCTTCTGGCGGCTGCCGCGGCACCTCAATAGACCGGGTCGACCGGGTCGAGAAGCTGTAAATATGAATATTCCGCGAATCGTAAGAGATTTCACCCTGGGTCCCGTAAACACGACCACGCCGTTCACATTGTTTCTCCGTCGGAGCGATCATATGGAAGATGGCCGTTTTAGCAGTTCGGGGATAATAGTCATTGGTGGCTGTAGTAGAGTCAAGGGGTTCATCATCCCAGGTAAGAGTGACGACCTGGTCATCGCAGACATTGTTATCGGATTCGTAAACGCACCGACCGTACCAGGGTCTCGCGGCGATATCCTTGTCCTCCGTTTCGGGAGAGTAATCTTCTTCCAGAATACGGAGGAGATGGGCCTCTGCTGCTTTGATCTGTTCTTCCTCAGATAGAGAGGAGGAGCTCCGGATTACATCCTCGATATCTGGACAGACGATGTTGACAGGCCATTCGTAGTCGGCCCTTGCGACGTGCATGTCGCGGTAGATCTTGATGGCGCTGTAATTGCAGTCTCTCTCTGCAGGGCAAGAGATGCAATTTGTTGCCGTGGCGGCGGCACGAGGTTTTCTGGATTTGCGGAACTGGGTCAGGGAGCCGGAGGAGGTGATGGTGCGTGGGAGATGCGCTTGTTGGCGCTTGAGGTACTCCTGCTGCTGCTGTGTGGAGAGGTTGGCGTCTGCGGGGAGCGGTGGCGGGGAACAAAGGAGCCACAGGATGAAGTCGAGGTCGTGACAGGATTTGGTGAGCAGGGAGCCGTCACCTTCGGGCGTTGCTCGTCGCCAGTTCCCGCGGACATAGCTGTGTGCGAAGTGCCACCATCCAACTGGTTCGCAGTGTTCCATTGAAATAATGTCGCCAATGACACGGTCCTCAAGGAGGAGCTTTCGGAGGAGGATGTTGTGTGGACTGTATCGGAGGACATGACCTATGGAGAAGATGGTCGATGGGGAAGAGGGGGGTGATAAGCCCCCTGCTTCCTTTGGTAGTAGCGCGCGGTAGACGGTCAGACAGTCGGATAGTGAGAGGGCGAGCGGCTTCTCGCACAAAATGTGAAGTTCTAACGGGGCGATAGCTTGTAGGATCTCCACGTGGGTTTCGTCCAGCGTGCAGATGAACACGCCGTCTATTCCACCGGTAGTATGATTGGCCGCGGCAGTCACAGGAGACCTGCTCTGTGTTCGCCGTTTGATTTCCCATCGCAGCCAATCTCGCCAGTCTTCGAACTCCTGCCCGTCCTGTGGAGTACCGCTGTCGCCCCAAATATAATTGCGGCCAAATTCCCGTCGTTTGAAGGGATGTGGCTCGGCAATCGCGTGGATCACACCTGAGGTGGCATTGGTGACGGCTCGGGCGTAAGCATTGCCTCGCGAACCAGCGCCGATGACAAGGAAACGAAGTGGTTTGGCGGAATGAGGGTGGGGTGGGGAAGGGGAAGATGAGGAGAGATCGTGAGAAATCGGGGGAGTAGGGTCGCCCATGATAACTATCAGTCAAATAAATATAAGTAGATACTAGTTTCCGGTTGTGAAACTAGACATAGAGAAGGAGATAGGGAGAGGGATGAGGAGAAGAGGGTAGGATTCGATTCTTATATGGAGTCGATACTCGATAAGTATACTCCATGGAACCTCGCATCGCAACCCTGCCATCTCAGGTCACGCATGGATAGCCGAGCCCTGATTGGCCCGAGTGCTGCCTTTCGTGCCATCATTCATGCTCATCCATGCTCATCCGCTCGAAGAGAGAAAATAACTCCGTTCCGGATCCACCCAAAAATAAAAATAAAAATAAATACAATACAATAAACTCAGGGCCCTTATCGATAACGTCCTGTACCTTAAGACTCGGGATTATATTTGCCATTCAACGTTACATGACCATTATCCGTACAAGATTTTCCCCAGGATATGTACGCCACAGAAATTATTGTTATACGACAAGAAAAGAAAGTTTGTCAGCAATGCGCTGGGGTTCGACAAGGAACAGTGAACTGAATTCGGGGTATCCATATAAGAAATAGAGAGTAAGATGTACAACAGGATCAGGAACATGCCAGCCTGAAAAGACCAAGGATTATTCCTGTTGCGAAGGTGACACGTCCTGAAGGAAAAGAAAGAAATGCAAGCTCTCAGCGTATGTACAGAGCAAGGTTCTGATGATATATATCCAGACATCGGACAACGATGGGGCGCTTGCAATGGCTAAAGGAAAGACAATAGCGAACAGGATCATATACTCTCAGTAAATCGGCTGCCGCGGCTACCATCAAAGCTTGGATGACTTCGACCCAGCACGTCTGGTCGCTTGGGGATGGTGGGAGACAACGCTCCCTGCGCCAGAGGCACAATGCGCGATACAGAGGGTTCGTTAGATAAACTAGCTTCTGCGGAGCCAGGAATAGGTGTCCTGGCCGGGGAGGGCCGAAAAATCACAATGGGATTGGTTTCTTCGGCTTCCCTTGTATAACTCACGTCCAGCGGCATGCCATACGGGGTTGATGGAGGCGGCTGCGAGGTAGGTGAGCGGGGAAGGACCGGTGAACCTGGCGGGAAGCTCACACTTGGTTCCGACATGGTCGGCGATCCTTCCGAGAAACCACCGCCGTATCCATCTCCTCCTGACTGTAGTACGGAGGGAATTTTCCGACCAGAAATCTTCTGGAATCCACGCTCGCTGGTGCTAGAATCTAAGGTGCTTTCTGTATGAGTAGAGAGACGCGATTGTCTCCAACGTTTCATAAACGCTGGCGCAAAGTATGACGCCGTGAATAACGGATCATTGCTAGACCGCCGCGAAACCACATCAGCTGACCTTGTTACAGATCCTTCTCCAACAGCAGTACCAGTCATATCACCGGGCGGAAGGACTTCAGGGGCACGATTTTGGTATGCTCTCCGTCTCCGGAGAATGATGAAAACTAGGAGCACCAAAGCCATGGCACCAGCTACACCACCAACGACACCGCCAGCAATTTTGCCCTTGGTTTGGCTGTCCAGAGCGCCAGAGCCCTGGGAAGGAGAAATTGTCGCTGACGTAGTCGGTCCAGTAGTCAAAGTTGTCGGTTCGGTAGCTGTCGGCCCCGATCCCCCGTCCCACCCATATGAGGCGCCGCCTCTGGTGCCGGAGGGCAACGAAGTTGTAGTAAGCTCAGATATAGTAGAGGTTGTAGAGGATGTAGAAGTTGACGAAGTCGTTGTGCTGGAAGATGAGCTTGAACTAGAACTAGAGGTTGACGAGGTTTGGCTAGAACTGGAAGACGAAGAACTCGTGGAGGTGGAGACTACAGTGCTGGAAGTTGACTGAGGCGTCCCACTCGAGCTCGCAGGCGAGAGAGGTATTTGGGAAGCGGAAGTATTGGAAGCAGAAGATATCACAGGAAGAGAAGTAGGCGAAGCCGAGGGATCATGACTAGCCGACCCAGGGGCAGTATCAGTTGTGGGGGTATGTGAAGCAGGAGAGGCAGTCGGGGTTTCTTCGGAAGAGGTAGTCGGAACAGCCGGTGAGCTTTGGTCAGTGGTGATTTCCGACGCTGTAGGCTCGCTGATACCAGTTGTCGGCGAGGGCATTCCTACTGTAGCGGCTATCGTAACTTGCATCGAAACCTGGCCTTCCTGGGATATTGCGCTATCCATTTGGGGCTGCGATCCATCCTGCGCCTGCCGCTTCATCATGTCTCTCGGGTCATTCACAACCGTCCCATGGACTACGGAGTGCCCGCTGTTCGTACGTCCCGTAACACCAGTAACAGCTGTTGATCGATTAGTTCTCTTCATCAATCTGCTATACCGAGTGTGCCTATTGCCATGATGGGCCATCCTGGTTCGGCCCCTGCTCCGAGCTGTACGAGTATGCTCTCAACCGAAACCACCCAGAAAACTATTGAAGATTGAATATCAAAGACGTGTGGCGTAATATTGATCGACTCGAGATACCGTTGATGCGCCAAACCGAGCACACGAGTTTTGAAGCTCCGTGTTGGAAGAAGATTTCAGGAAGAATGTAGTATGCGGTGCCTGCCAGGACGACACAAAGATATTCGGGAAAGAAGCGAGTTTTGGAAAGAACGCAAAGAATTAGAATATTAATCCGAATGAGTGAAGACTGTGTTGGCTACAGGATGATAATGTCGGGGATTGATCGAAAGAACGACTAGCGGGCACAATGAAGGCTTAGGCTTGCCCAAGCGTTGAAACCCCGCAAATAGCGCAGGTCTTAAAATTCGTATGAACCAAGGAGCGGACGTCAGCTGCACCGAAGAGCTGACAATTTCAAGCGTAATGATGGGAAAACGATTCCAAAATGCATGGAAACCTGTTAAGAAGGTCAATTAGAGAACCACCTAGCTACCATACCCGCTGAAAATATGAGAGATTCTCCGCAGGTCTCAGGATGATGCCGAGTCCATTTTGACATCTGAGCTCGTACATACCAGTAAGGAATGAACGAAGAGAAGCGAAAAGTGAACAGCAGGTGGAACTTTTGTGACTTTTATCTGTATTTCTCCAAATCTTGAGAGCTCCTCCAGCTCTAATCCATAATTGCCGAGAGAATCGAATTGGAAGTTTCAACGGGGAGATGGACTGACAAGAGACTCATCAACGTTGGGTCCCTCGAGAATCTGATCGCCAAAATTATTTCCGTTTCACTTTTTCCCTGGTTGCGGGATCCACGTTGACACCGGACCCAGCCTTGTCTCTCGCTTGTTCCAAGCCGTTCCGTGGTAGTATGTCACCTCGCGCGGTCCGGTATTTCCACCATCCGTTTCAATGGTTGTAGGCTGCCCCTAAGGAAAGATTCCGTCCTCTGCCGCCAAAAGATCAAGGGAAAAGAAGGGGAGATAGGGAAGGGAGGAGCGAGAAGGGCGGGAGAAGGTGAAGGAGAAGGAAGGTGGGGAGAGAAGGGAAAAGACGATGTGAATGAGACGGCAGAGAATCGATCAGGCCAGACCTAAGAATAACAACAAGAAGTTCGGCTGAGGTCAGGTCTTAGACTTGCAGCGTCCACCAACTACTAGTCGTTACAATACAGGAATTACATCAGCATTGACTTTTCTCAATTACGACCGTTATTTCAACTCCGATAATATCAATCATCTAGCTTGTTGAGGATAGAAGCATCGACTTCCGAAAGATGGTCCGGATAGATTTGCTCTATGTCAAGGACATGAGCAAACCTGGAGATTGCAATGAATGTCGGTATCCTGGTATAGTATCTTTGGGTACAGGTGTTCCGGTACTCCAAACACAATACCGACTTGATGCGTACGCATTGCGTACCCGAAATGACAGCCTTTCCACTTCGGGGATCAAGCGATGCCATTTTTGCACCCAGGAAGTATCATTGGCTCGACGCGGGAAAGCCAAGACTAAGTTTAATAAAACACTGATGGGAAAGTCTCACCTTCATTTAACTAATATGCCTTGAGTGGATGACTAGCTTTAATTTAATATAGAATGCCGTCTGTCACCCTCTCATCAAAATCTGAAGGTTCCCGAGGGTCAACCAACAGCCACAGATCAAGCGCATTGAAGGTTTTGAGAGGGGTAGATCTGATCTGGGTGCAAGGCGGAAGAGGGATTCGCAGTGAATGCAACCTTGCTCTACAATTTGAGGGTCCATTGAGTACAAACCAAACCCTACTAGTACACACACTACCAACTTTTGAGTGACAGAGTTGGTCTCGTACCTCTCTTTCGGGTAAGATACGAAATTGAACGACCAGAATGTTCTAGCCCATATTACATCGGCACGCCCCACGCGGCTTGGAATGTGTCACCTCAATCCATTTGTCCCGCTAGACTCTTTTCAGTCTAACCCAGGACGGTGGTGCATGATTACATAGTATTTGAATACTATGCCGAGTTCGAAGTGATTGCGATTAGTCTACTACGAACCTTGAAGGATCAAGAATAGGATCCCGGCGCAGTGTTGGCGGCAGCCCGTACGACCTGATATGCATACAATAATATCTCCTGGGAGTAAGGGGCTAAAGTTTCTAGTGTTTGGTCTCCGCCCCCAGTTCATCACACCTATCATGCTGCAAGGTACACGGTCCCTGGGTGAGATTATAGTTCACTTTTCCAGGGCCATTTTCAAATTGTGTAACCCTATAGTCGTCCATTCTGAGCCTGCGGTGCAACCCCGGGAAACCGTAAATTATCGACATTATTGTCAGACGAAGTCGAAGTCTTCGTAAGTGTAATCGTCCAGAAATGGGGTCAATTCCGTCTCCGATCCACACTGCTATTTTTATATACTGTCGTGGCGTGTCCATCTCCCGCCTTGGAATGCCATCTCCGGAGTGGAAATTTCGAAGAATGTAGGACCTCGAGGCCAACCGAACCATAGATTAATTCGCTCATTCGGTGGCCCTCGCACTGGAACCGAATGGTAGACTACCACAGGAGGAGGAGGTAGAACTATAGAAGTAGAGAACAATTCTATTGGACTCTCGTCTGGAGCCTGACGGAAATTCAAATGTCCTATCGCCAAATGTCCACGAAACAGCTCATGATTTTCTCGCTCTCCAGTTCGTGCCAGCTGCCAAGCTCTGTCTCTCTCTCTCTCCGACAGCTTGACCGAGGACCCAACTCAGGAGAGTAACAGGAAATCCAATCAAAACATGAGGGGTCAAAACCACCCACGCAACGCTAGTCATACTATGAGGGGGTATTAAAAACGGACAAACGTTTCTCAACCGGAATTTAGAATGTCTCCAGTTCATCCGCAGCACCCTCACCCTCTTCAGCTGGGATCTCAAATCCTTCCTGTCCGACAGTTAGTCCTCCCGGTCCGTATTCGTTTGAACGGGATGGAAATCTTTCATACCTCTGTCGAGTACAGAATACCTTGAATGTGCTTCACCAACGAATCGTCATCCTTCTCCAACTCGGGGTCTGCCTCGATGGCACTTTGCAGCAAAAGCTCAATGTCTCGCAGCTTAGCAAAATAGAAATCCCGCTCCTTCTCCAACCCGGCAATAGCTTCCTTCTGAGTCGCAATCTCTTGCTGCAAGGCGGACACGTTAGGCCCACCTGCTGCAGCGACTCGTGGACGAGCTGCAGCAGTGGTAGGTGTAGCTCCCCGCCGCGTGGCTCCCGCCGATGCTGCGCCTGAGCGAGAACCACTAGCAGGAGCAGGGGGAGCACCCGAAGCCTTCCGACGAGCAACAGCATCGTAATCACCACCAGGGAAGTGCTGGTCCCAGTATCGCTTCGTCCACTGCAGGAATTCAAGGTTGTCTTGCATGCGGCATTTGGTAAGTTGTTGTACGGGTACCGGCTTGTCTACCTGGTGGCGAGCAAACACGTCTGTCGAAAGGCTGTGTTAATAGGGAGGATCTTTCCCCATCCAAACGAATCCACCCAGGAACGTACTTTGAAGAACCTTGAAATTTTGAAGGTAGGCGTACTCGGTATTGACGTTGAATTTCACACGGGACATGGGGACATCCACTAGAAAGCAGGAAGAAATTGTTAGTCCTATAACAAATTTACTAGGGGTAAGATGGCACACTCACTAAAGATTGAGTCAAAGACTTGACAGAGAGCCGCACTACACAAGATTATACGTCAGCCCATTCTAGCTATATTCGAAGATGCTGAGACCATATCCCACGCCGTTTTGGCTCCAATTTTGCAAGGAAGTCAAGTCCGTCGCCCGGGTAAGGAAGCAGGATTATCCATAACGGGGAAGTTGAACGTACCCCGTGCCGCACTGCTCAACCTTGGTAAGGTTCAGCTGCAACAGGTTGTTAAGCCATGCCAGAAGCTCTTGCCTATTCATCTCACAAGGATTAGTCGCTAACTTCCACACATAAGGGGCTTATTTCACAGATTGTTTTGAAAGGGGGCTTCCAACGAACCTAGATTCGCCCATGGTGGGGTATACGGTCCTGGTTTTGAGTTCGGTTGGGATAGCGGGAAGAGCTCCTGGGGGTACAATGAATTAAGGGAGTGTGAGAGGAAACAAAGAAGTCGTATAGATGGGCGTTTCCGCAGGTACGTGAGAGTTTGGTCTTGGTTTGAAAATTGAGGCAAAGTAATCGTTGAGAGGATTGTTTTGTTGCTGTCGACAAAACCCACGGGACCGCCATGACGCTAAGGGGGATCTTGGCCAATCACAAGGCCCCCTGCCCCTTTCCGTGAGAATGTATCGATTCCTCAGGCAAGGATTTGATGGATACCTGCCCAAGTGGGCAGTTATTGATCGACGCGGCGCCCGGTAGCACAGCGATCACGACGAGTATACCCTGTATCGCAGGGCGATGTCTACCATCGCAAGGCAATAATCATAACTACTGTGAATGTTTTCTGGCAGGAAGACTGAAGTGAGAAAGCAAAGTAAACATCTTTTTAAGTTCAACGCTCTATCGCTAGCCAATGTGTATCCCAAAATATTATATCCAAAAAGGCGCAAAGAAAAAGCGCAAACAGCACAAGGCAAGATTCCACATGAAGAGAAGAAGACCCCGAGTGAGTACCCGTATAAACTCCCTGAAACCAAAACTTTTCCTGTGATGGAACAGATAAAAGCAAATATCCGTCTATTCCTCTAGCAACTCAATGCCATCTAGTCCATAACCAAAGTCCATGATGACAGCTCGAGAATCCTGGCTCGTGGCCAGGATGCGTCGATAGTCTGACTTCACACTCAACATCCAACTGGTGGTCCAGCCGGGTAGGTCAATTGATAACTCCCCGGTCTGCGCATCAAAGACCTTAACACTCATATCGTAACTTCCACTGACAATCCGCTGCCCCGCACTGTCCAGATGTAGAGACCGGACCAGCCCTTCGTGGCCCTTTAGCTCATTGACCATGTCACCGGTGTTTGCATCAAACTGATATATAACTTGATCGTTACCGCCAGTGAGGATAGTCCTGGCATCTTCACTAAACTCAACGCACGCAAGTCCGCGATCTTTACTGTGAAATTCCTTGACACAGTGACCAGAAGTGATGTTCCACAGTTTGGCCACGCCATCTCCGCTCGCAGAGACAATCAAGTCACCACGTAGCTGAACTGCGTTGACAGGGCCCCTGTGGCCGACAAGCCTTTGAAGGAGAGCTCCAGTATGCCGATCCCAGACACAGATGGTGGTATCCTTCGAGCAAGAAACAATGTAACGGTCATCAAAGCACACATCTAGCACACCTGCGCGGTGGCCTTCCAGGCGACGAATAGGCTGATAATCATTCTGGATATCCCAAACAATGCAGGTATAGTCAGATGACCCCGTGACCATGATCTCCTCATCGAATTGAAGGCAAAGAATGGATGCACTATGGTATTCTGAAGCTTGTTCAACCGGTGTGGTAATCCCAGCGGAAAGCGTCGGCGGGGGGCAAATTGTAAGAAAAGGGGGCTTTCCAGATGACTGCTGAGACATGTTATTGACAGGCCCAATACCGGCGATATCTCCCGGAGGAGGTCCGATAATCTTGCGGCATGGCCAAGGATAATGGGCATCCCACACTCTGATGGTTCGATCACGAGATCCAGTAATGATTTTGTCCCTGTAGGCGGTTAGTTGGTGATAATGATTTGCTTGCTGAATGACATACTCATCAAACTGTGCACAATACACGCTGTCTTTATGTCCGTGGAGATAAATTGCAGCAGCCTTGCCTTCCTTCCACCGCTGCTCCAGCGCGCGGCGGACAAGGAACATTCTCTTCCAGTCTTGGTCTGGGAGAGATTTTCCTAAGCCAGCAGATCGTTTTTTCTTCGAGGTGCCGACAGGGCGACTATGTCCATAGGTGTGACGGAACACATGTCTCCAAATATGCCGGGAGGATGCCTGCTCACTCCAAGCGCGAGAGACCGATTCGCATTGCATGAGAGACTGGGGATCAAGATAAGTAAAGATGTGTGACATGACCTCTGGTGGTAGATGAGTCACCGGATCCAAGCGCAGAAAGGCGAGATCCGTGTCGGAGAGTTCGGAGCGGTCACGCAGGTCGATACCAATACCGCTCTCCGAATCTCTCGTCAGACCCGTGTCGGAGTACTTCGCACCATCTCTCTCGGCCCTGAACAGCTCATTCTGGGCCGCAGCGGCCGCCCGAGCAGCTGCACCTGCATAGAAATCATCCGGAAGAACGGGCGGCTCCGAGCCATTGCCTGGAATCGGAGCACGCATAGGCGTACTTGGTGTGTAGAAGCCGTGCAGCGCCGATACGCTGTGATGAGACAATCGGCGATCGATACTGGTACCCTTGCACCATGAATGCCTATTTCTAGGCGCGAATTCCGGTTCATGGTTCAAGTCGCCCAGGTCATCTTGATGGTGGTGAGCCGAATGCCTGGAAGACTTATTCCGGATCGTGACCGACAAGCGGCGGCCGAGCGCGCGCAAGCCATCAACAGGATGGCGTAAGCTGGAGAAGCTTTTGGCTTCTCGGCGCTTAGGAACAGGTTCAGGGAAATGATTCATTTCCTCCAACACCTGTCCTTCATCATTGGCAGCATCGACAGCTGACCCTCCACTCCATACGTCGTTTTCGAAACGGGTTGTCTGATGGGTCGATGTGGTAGCCGTCCGAGGTCGAGGTCTGAAGGAGAGGGAAGGACGTCGCCGGGAGGGAAGTGTCGCAGCCTCACGTGGGGACATGGTGTCGCGAATCGAATATAGAGAGATAATGCAGGATGATCGGAGATTCCGCAGATCGACTATATACTGATACAAGAGGGCCCCTTTCACCAACCCTGAGACACAATTCCAGGGAACAGCAAGGAACAAATGTGAGAGTGTGGAAGAAGTATGCAGCGAAGTGTCCGTCGGTTCTTGAGCAGGTATCTTGTAACAGACAAATTATGGGGAGGCTTGAATGATGTAGGCAAGGGCAACAAAAAAAAAAAAAATAAAGGGTCCGCTTAAACAAGTAACTCCTGATAAGAAACACCGACCACCCAGAACAGATAAAGAATGAGAGAAAGGATGTCTACCACAAAAAGAAAGGACCGGACAGGGGGGTGAGAATCTAATACAAATCAATCTAAGGAATCCGAACACAAAGAGAGAGAAAAAAATAAAAAAAAAAAGAGGGAAAGCTGACAAGAGGGGGAAAAAGAACTTAACATCAGGAGAGGGAGAAAAAGGGAGAAAAGCTACTTATCAGCAGGGCGGTGAGAGACCCCCAAAAGAAAAGAATTTGCCCCCCCAGTCCGATAGGCTCCGGTGAGTGGTCGCGCCGGAAGGCAAAATTGATTGGGCGTCATTGGAGGCGAACAAAAATCAATTCGTCCAAAGAAGAGAAGAAGAAGAAAAAGTTAATCAATGTCAATGTACTCCGTACCACACAAAGCCTTTGGACTGTTTCTGCCCCTGAATTTACGCACTGGTGGCGTGGGAGCTTTAATGAGGAAATGAAAAAAAAAAAAATATTCCAGCAAAAAGTTTCCTTCCCAAAAGGAATTTATTTCTTTTTTTTATTTATGTTTTTTATTTTGTTGACCCTCCAAACAGATCAAAGTCAAAATCAAAGTCAAATAGCAATGCCTTGCTTAACCAACAAAAAAAAGAAGAGTTACTATTTCGGGGCACCAACTCATTCCGACAAGTCAGCCCAACTGACCCTTCTTGGGAACAAATGCATTATGGTATTATCTGAGTGCATTCATCGTCGTAGTATGTAAGCAAGGTATCAATTGAGTTGACAACACAAACAGAACAACTTCCTGTCTATGATTGATTCTATGGAAACATTCAACGCTGGATAGACTATACAATAGGACTCCGTTTAAAGAATACGTTGAAGATCGGCTCCATCGTGAATCTAGGCCGGTGCAAGAAATCTGCCTCCCGCCCCCGTGGGGTTTCGCAAATCTCACGATGATCCACCCGTGTCGGTCTTGGGCACCTGCGCTTTGTCCGTGTGTGCTGTCGCTGTCAACCGATCATCGGAATCTTTCGTTGTCCCCCGAGAATTCAGGCGGGAAGGCGTAAGCAACCCTAATCTTGATAAATTCTCCTTCCCCTTTAATACGGGTTCAAATGTATTTTTAGTTATAACCCTATTTCACATGCAAATACCTCGAGAGGTGTATACGTATATATATATATATATATTTTTTTATTGCTTTGTTAAATTGGTCTATGGAAGGATGTGCGATCCAGGCGAACACACTCATACTTCTGAATGTATGATTCAGAACTGGAATGGCCTTGACCGCATTTATATAGTACACCGCTGTTACAGTCTACGAGGGTTGCTCTTCGAGAGTGGTTTTTAGAAGGATAATAGCGCAAAATAAAGAAAATAGCGAGTAGAAAACGAACTAAACCAAAGTGAAAATATAAGTCAAATAAAACATATCAATTTTCCCTTATAACTAAGAAAGGACCTAAGGAGAACAGGGTATGGTTGAGGACGGAAGTAGGGACCTTGAGGATTGATTATAATTACTTCTACCCCCACCTCCAGTTTATACACAGACGAGTGTTCCCCCCTCATCCTCCTCTACTTTCGCTTTAGAAAAAGTCATCATTTTTGGTATTCTTCCCTATCATACTTTACAACCTTTGTCTCGGCTCAACCAAACACCTTGTCGTACCCGGTCATGGTAAATCGATAATGAACATCTCCCTTCTTCATTCGAACCATGGCTTCCTTGAGTCCCTCCTCACCGATCTGCAGTTCCTCGACCCATCCCCGTAGACCCTTATCTGCTGCCAATTTGAGCATATCCAGCATTTCCCGCCGACTACCCAGGTGGCTAGCTCCAATCAAGACTCCGTTCGCGATCAGGTTCTGTGCCTTGATGACCTGACCTTCTTCCTCGGGAAGTCCGACGCTGATCCAGCGACCATGGACGTCCATGAGGGACAAATATTTGGCCAGATCAAAGCCCTTGGAAGAGCTGGCGCAGTTGATGATCAGATCAAACGAGCACAGGTGATCCTTCTCCCAACCTTCCTCCGCCGTAGCAATGTATCCATCCGCTCCCAACTTTCGTGCATCCACCTCCTTAGCGCGAGACCGGGAAATTGCCCAGGTTTCCGCTCCAAGGGCTTTGGCAAACATGATTCCAAAGTGACCAATTCCACCCAACCCCACAATTCCCACCTTCTTGCCAGGTCCGGCGCCGTTACGGACCAGCGGTGAATATGCAGTCAGACCGGCACATAGCATGGGGGCGACAAGGTTGGTTTCGAGTTGTTCGGGGATAGGGAATACCCAGTGTTCGTGAGTGCGCACATGCGATGAGTACCCACCTTGGCTGACGATGCCAGTCTCCGGCCACTCAGAGCCGTAGGTATCCATCATGAGGACGGGGCAGTAGGTCTCGTTGTCGTTCTTGCATTGTTTGCACTCGCCGCAGGAGTATGACTGGGCGCCAACACCGACGCGTTGGCCTTCTTGGATCAATGTGACTTTTGGTCCGACGCGAATCGCTCTGCCGATGATTTCTACCGGAGGTAATCTCGTTAATAGGCTCCATGATTCTGAAAAGCTGAGAAGGATGACACTTACCATGACCAACGCAAAGAGGGAATTTCTGATCTCCCCAACCACCTAATGTATATCACACTATGTCAGCTACTGCTAGAGTCGTCAAAGGGAATACTGAGCATTGACGGAGAGCGTACCGCTGATAGTGTGCAGATCACTCCCGCAGACACCACAAGCCTCGATCTTAATGTCAACGTCTACGGATTTGTTAGTGATATCCTTTCATATGTGTTAGAAACGACCCCAACATACCATAGTCGCCAAACGGCTTCAACTTGAACTGCACGCGACGGTATCATTAGTCTTCTAGCGACAAAAGCGAGGAGAGGAAGAGTCTGGACGTACGAATCGTTTATTGAAGTTGGTATAAGTCACAGGGCTATCGACCTGGAAACCCTCAGCTTCCTCGGGATAAGGCATGTTGTCGAATAATACAGATAATGGTGGGGGGAAAACAACGGACGATGTATGGACGGGGGAAGTTGGAGTGGGAATAGTGAAGGGAAGATGAAAAGAAAAACGCCTTCCACCAGGGCGAGGCCGACCTTTATAATTTGATCGCCACGCCAACAAACTAACAGGGCTGCGGAGCCATCCATTTACTGCCCGTGTTTGCAGTCATGGTGGGTATTCTCTCCTCCGAGCAGTTGGAAGGACTGGGCACTCGGTGACTCCGTGAATCTGATTGCATTCCCAGTTTCAATCTCATTCCCTACAACAGATTAAGCGCCTAATATGCGACTACCGTACAATTGATACTTGCGGGGTTGAAGCGAGGAATCCTATACAGCTTCGTATACGTCGAGCGACCCCGCGCCATAAAGCTCGCTCCAGGCAGCCCAATGTCTATGAATAATTGATCTCTCAGACTGCAATATACTATACGCTACATTCTATTGTACACAGGAAGTGAACTATTCTTGAGAACATGGAACATGGTATGCCGATTTCCTTACTCCTAGAGGTGACTTTCTGTTTTCCCTTTCCTCTTTTTTTTTTACCCCTCATCGGTGTTATCAAGTTCAACTGACACCCTTACCAAGAACACCCACAAGATCCAACTGTAGTGTCACCTCAGCCCGCTAAAGTTTGTCCACCAGTGAGAGGTCAAATCGATGAAAATTGGCGTGGGGGCACTTCGGTTTCCCAAGACAGAAGGTTCGGCAATCTGTCCGAAATCCGTTCGGTACGTACTCTCCCGATTCAGGAACCGTCACGAAGCGCATTGTATACTCCATGACTGCTTTACTGGGCCAGCCGTAGACCTTTACAGGGTTTTGTAGCATTGATAGTTCGTGATGTGGGTCTTATAGCCACAATCGAGTATTTTACTAGGCGAATCTTCTAAGAAACAGACGTGGGGGTTTTTTTTTTATAAAAAAAAAAAAAATAATAGAAAGGTAGGTACAGGAGAGGGTATTTATGCAATATCAGGCAACGACCGCTCCACCTCCATAGCTTCTTTGATTTTATCAGCTACCTCTTGCGTCTTAGCCTCGCTCAGCCGTCCCAAGGGCCGGCGAGGATAGCCTCCGTAGCCATAATACGACTGAATGGCACCCTTGGTACCTGGGATGGCAGTCTTAGTGAGTACCCAATCGGCAGAACTCAGAAGCTGTTGGGCTTCCATAGCCTCTGTAAAGCGACCAGCGCTCCAAAGGTTGAAAATCTGTACACACAAACGGGGAAGCACATTGGCACCACCGGCCAGAATAGCGGAACCACCAGAGGCCAAGGTCTGCAGAGTAAAGTCTGCAATGCCACCAAAGGCCACATAAGGATGGTTCTCGACTTTCTTGGTCGAGATGTTCTTGTGCTTGGGAGCCAGAGGCGATTCAGGGGCGATGGCATTGAGGGCGGTAGCGACACGGGTCAATTTGCCTGTGTTGGCGCAGGTGAACTTAGTACCCACGATGTTAGGGTGTTGCGAGATGCGGATGATCAGGTCCGAGTCCATGTCGATCCCGGACACAGCACCGGGGTAGTTATAAAGGATCAACGGCAGAGGGGAGCCATCTGCCACTGCAGTGAAGTACTCATATAGGGTCTCGTCGTTGCCAACAGCGTAGCGGTAGTAGCTTGGGGGCACGATGAGAGCATATTCCGCACCGGCTTCAGCGGATTCTTTGCATAGGTCAATTGTGCCACGGATGCTCTGCTCGCTGGCTCCAGTGATGACAGGTACGTTGGAGAAGCCAGCCTCCACAAGCGCAGATCGTGTCTCTCGAATGACGGTCTTGCGCTCCTCGCGGGTTAGGTGAACTGCTTCTCCGTTGGAGCCCATAGTGACCAGACCGACCAGGCCGGCCTTGGCAAGACGGACAGCATGACGACGGATGGTAGGAGTGTCAAGCTCTTCAGTGTCAGGGTTGAAAAAGGTCATGGTAGGAGCGTAAGCTCCGGGGCGGAGGGGAGTACGGGACGCCATCTTGATGCTATCTGTCTGCCAGATATTAGTACTGAATGGTGCAATGGTATACATAGAGCGGAGTATAAGAAACAACTATAGAGCATCTATGAATATTGAGTGCATACCTGATAAATTCTGTATCTGCGCTTCTTGCGAATTCAAGTCACAGCTAACCAATTGGAGCAGAATAAAACCAAGACCAAGTCTGAGTGATCGGGACTCTAGTGATAGCTATATACCAACGCCATCCCCAGGCACCAGGTAATTGTTCCTGTGTTTACCCCGCGAATGCAGCACATGATTCTGGATCATTTGCCCATCCCACTCCCCCACTGCCCCACTTTCCTAATCCACTTCGAGGGCCCACTGCAGCTTCGGCTTTTTGACCGGCGAGATATTTATCCACCAATGATGGCTACCCTGACTGGTCGTGGAGTTACACCCAATCGGATTTTACAATCAGCTCGGGGAATCAAAGGCCGAATAGGTAAACCGTTATGGGCATCACAGCGCAACCGATAACTAAACATGGCAGACTGTGTTAACGATTATAAATTCCAAGAAAGCCTCAATGCGGTCACCAGGTCCAAGCAAATATGATGCCAATGGAGGGAGAAATTATCCTCTAACTCTGTTTGCTAACATAAAAGCAAGAACATATTGACAAGATCCTCGTATAATAATAAATGCACAAATCAAGTGCCGCATCGGCTAATGACGTTCCCCAAACAGGCAATCTGGTGGGATGGAGATTCTTCCGTCATCTGCCCGCCTGAGGGAATTACAAAACTCGTGGATGCGCAGTCAAAATGACTAGGACATTGTCTTCTATTTCTTTTTCCTGTTTTCTCAGTTTCACTCCCTCTCCCACCTCTCTACCCCGCCACCCGTGAGGTTACAAGACTGTAGTTCTCCCCAAACAGGCAACAATCGAACGTCGCAAGTGCAAAATGGCTCCTCCTAGTGTATTGATGGTAAGTCGCATCCATTGGCCTGTAATCACCTATACTACAGAATTGAACGGCTGACCATGGTCATTCTCAGGTGGGTACGGGCGAGTACACCACAGGCTATGTCGGTGGCACCGCTTCAACATCCGACAAAAAGGTCGGCGTAGTAGGCCTGACCCTCTTCGACCTGCGCCGACGAGGCAAAGTCGGCAACCTGAGCATGGTAGGAGTGTCTGGACGCAAATTCCCCGGAATCCGTAAGTTACCCCAAACAAACATGCTATACATCGCATCCTCACAAGACCCAAAAAAGGCTCCCACCTCCAAAAGAACATCTCCGAAGTCTACAACGGCCTCGATGTCTCCTTCACCTCCTACCCAGCGGACGATCAAACCGACCCAGACGCCTACAAGGCCGCCATCGATGCCCTCGAGCCCGGCTCAGCAATCACAATCTTCACCCCCGACCCAACTCATTTCCCCATCGCCCTCTATGCCATCCAGCGCAAGATCCACGTCTTGATCACCAAGCCCGCAACCCAGCTCCTCTCCGACCACCTTACGCTCCTTGAAGAAGCCCGCAAGCACAGTGTCTTCGTCTTCATCGAGCACCACAAGCGCTTCGACCCGGCATACTCCGATGCGCGCGCGAAGGCCCGCAACCTGGGGGACTTCAACTACTTCTACAGCTACATGAGCCAGCCCAAGAGCCAGCTGGAGACGTTCAAGGCCTGGGCCGGCAAGGACAGCGATATCTCGTACTATTTGAACTCGCACCATATCGATATCAACGAGAGCATGGTGCCTGAGTATGCGCCGGTGAAGGTCACGGCCTCGGCGTCCAAGGGTACGGCGCTGGATTTGGGCTGTGTAAATGAGACAGAGGATACGATTACGCTGTTGGTGGAGTGGAGGAAGAAGAGTGATCCGTCGCGGGTTGCGACGGGCGTTTATACTGCTTCGTGGACGGCGCCGCAGAGGGCGGGTGTGCATTCGAACCAATATTTCCATTGTATGTTTTTGGCCTTTTGTCTTTTCTCTTCTTCTCTTTGCTGTGCAGTCGAGCTGGATTGTGCTGACTGGGTCTATAGATATGGGCTCTAAGGGTGAGGTCCGCATTAACCAGGCCAAGCGTGGCTACGATGTCACCGAGGATGAGCAGGGTTTGATCTGGGTGAACCCGTGAGTATTCCATGCCCGTCTCCAGATTGCCGAGGGCATGCCATCGCTAACAACGGGGAATTGGTGTAGATTCTATATGCGCTACGCACCAGACGAGGACGGCAACTTCAGCGGCCAAACTGGCTACGGCTACATTAGCTTCGAGAAGTTCATTGACGCCGTCACAGCAGTCAATGAGGGTCGGGTTACTCTGGATCAGCTCGATGCCAGACCTCTTCCGACACTCAAGAACACAATTGCGACAACGGCTATTCTGCATGCGGGACGGATCTCGCTGGACGAGAGGCGGCCCGTCGAGATCGTGAACGAGGGCGACAAGTGGGAGCTGAAGTGATCTGATCTCTTGAGCCATGATTTTGTATGTGATAAAATGTATCCATGAAAGTTAATGAAGGTTAAATATTCTTCGTACTGGAAGATCTGTCTGTAGACATAGAAAGAAAAAGCGAATGATTGTAACAGTTCAGGAGGTATTATCTCTGGAGAAGCGCAAGTGTAACAGGACAAATGCAAATTGGCATCCGTAGATGAGAGCAACACAATAAGTGAAAACACCCAACCTCAACTAATGCGTTAGAATGAAGAAAGCCAACTCCAAACTCCGCCGTCCGCCACTTCGCCATGCTGCGAAACTATCAATCAATATTAATCAGTACAACGCACAAATTTCCCAAATAACGCTCCGATGTCGTGGTCTCATGAACTCAAGAGGAGTAGGTGGTAGATCGCGTGCTATCTTCTCAGAAATATACCATGATAATGGAATAAGCTACCGACGAAGGCCGATCTTGACTATTCCATCGGTCCCCTTGTTGAACCTCACGCGACACTCCGGACAGTACCATTTAGCAGTTCGACTGGGAACTTCAGAGAGTCCGACGCAGTCAAGGTGGAACCATTCCCTGTCACACTACAAATATTAGTTAGTTTCCGGTAATTGGAAGTCATAGGGCAGGTCACGTACGTCAGTGTTCTCACAACAGATCATTGTACCGAAGCTTACGTCCCCACAAAGGCAATAGCGAGGCTCATTAGGGTCGATTTCCTCTAGTACACCGTCTTCATCAATGCGGATGTCACCGTCCTTCGGACCGTTCTCGCGAAACCGTTTTTTCCCGGGTTTAGCTTTGCGGCGGCCGTAGCTCACTGCTGCACCACCGTCTTGTCCTGATGATACGGGGCCTGGAGCGGGCCGCCTCCTGCGACGAGGTGCACTCAAGCTAGCTGCTCGAGAAACATCTGGAACTGGGGTCTTGCGTGCAGGGGTAGCGCTCTTTCGCCGAAGCTCTCTTCCTGCCGTGATGAGCCCGATAGAAGGAGCCGGTTCGGCCGATGCAGCAGCGGAGCGACGCCTGGAAGGGGGTCGGGTTACGGGGGGCGTTGTAGAAGTACCCTCCAAGGTAGGTGGAGCGACCACAGCTCCAGATGGTGGAACAGAACGCTTAGATGCAACGGGAGACGCTGGTGGAGGGGTGGGCTTCGTTTGCGTCACTTCAGCAACGGCCGTGGGTACGTTAGCTGACGGAGTGGTAGTTGAAGCACTTGGGACACTGACACTCGATTCCATCGGTGTGTCGCTTGTCTTGCGGCGTTTCGACGGACTTCGCACCGCAGGACGTGTTTCGGCACCTACCAAAGAGGTGGTAGTAGCATCCATGACCGGACTTTCATCGATTTTCCTTTTCTTCGCAGCTCTGCTTAGTTTGCCAGCCTGGGCCTGATCGCTGTGGGGGACCGAAGCCTTAACGGGAGAAGCAGCCGATCCCTGGCGTTTGGCAGCCAACTCTGCCTCGGCCGCAGCGGCAGCCGCTTGCTCCCGCGCTTGATTTTCACGTTTGAGTTTCTTCGCCTCGTTCAGTTTCATACCCCGATTGCTCAACTTTGTCTCGAATGTACCCTCCGTATCTTTGGTTGCTTCACTCCGTTTGGTTAATTTTCCTGGGATATAGTTGTTCATGATATCATCACAGTCGATGAACTCGGACCCGTTAGCCTCCGCTTGTGCTTTCGCAGCTCTATAAGCCTCCCATCCCCGGCCTCGAAGGGCTAGCTCGCGGTGTATCATCACCTCACTCGGCTGCCACACGGCGTTTTTCTTCATCTTCTTACGCAGCTTGGTCATCTCCCACTCTGTCAGACGTAACCACGGCATGTCCTCGCTGCCCGGCTTTGCGTCTTCAGGAGGAGGTTTGAGCATTGCCAGGGCATTACTCGTTGATATATTTGCTACACCGCTATGTGTATGGGTGCCAAGCGACGTCCGTGATCGCCGGCCTTGTTTCTCTTTCCGGCCTTGAGGGACTGCCGGATTAGCAGGCGACTCTGACGGTACAGCCTTGGGCTCCTCCACATCCGAATGCTCGGTGCTGGCAATCGGTGAGTCGGGGTGTAGACCGGCAAGGTGCTCCGCTGAGAGGACTGACCGTCGCGTTCTTGATTTAAGAGTTGATGCAGATTTCGTGTTGTCATGGCTATCCAAGCGTAGCGTGATGCGCGTTGTGGCTACCACATCGTCACCTTTCTTCGTTGGTCGACCACGCTTGGTGACGGGAACAGTCTGCGGCGCAGTGGGTTCGGCGGGCGGTGGCTTTGGAAGTGCCTCGAGCTTCTGCTTGATACAGTCTAAGCGATTGAAGTGGCGATCGACAACATCGTATAAACGACAGGCCTCCGCGTAAGCGGACTCGCGAGCATTGATTGCGCGGTCGAGTTGGGAGGAGATATCTTTGCGCAAATTGCGCGCATCAGGACGTCCATCTGGAGGTAATTCGGGGAGTTGTCCATAGGTCTTGGTGAGCTCATGCACGCCCTGAGTGGCTTCCAGATAACGCTCGTCCAAGCCGCGGATGAGAGTAAGGGAACGGATGATATCAGCAGGGAGGTATTCGGTGTAATCGATGAAGTCGGTGACGGTAGCTTGGGCGTCAGGATCAAAAGGGCCATCCAGGATGACTCCACCAGCGTCGTCGTCGTCGTAGTCCGCCATCATGGGTAGTAGCAGAGGCGCGGAGGGAGAGGCTGGAGCGCGGCTGAAATGTTATTGTTTATGACGACACCATGTGTGACGGCGAGGCCATCGAGGAGAGTTCAATCCAAACGCATGGACTGTCTACGTGAGACAGACCGACCGGGTCCGGTTCTATAGTCCAGCACCGGTAATGAAAAGGGGGATGAGGTGATGAAGGGAAAGATGGAAGCAAGTAGTAGTGAGTAGACGGGAGTTCCCCATCCACTGCGATTGGTCCTGCGCCTTCGGCTGACTCCGACACGTGATCTATTCCTATTCCGGAATAGCTCGATATGGATCTATACAACTCAGGTGTATCTTTGTTGCTATACACTCGTAGAGTGAAGAAACACAGCAAAAGTAATGTTGATGTTGATAGTATTTTTCAGTCTTCAGAAGCTCCTGTAGTGACATCAACTGGGGAAGGACTCTATTGAATTCATTTCTTCACCACAGTTGACACAATGCAGTGGGGAATACATCCACACAGCCAGGAGACCAGAGGTGATGAATATACCATGCTTTTCTGTAAAATACCGATCTATCTATTTTGAACTATGCTCTCAAGTGAATTGCCAATCCTGGGGTCATGCAGTTGCCTGGTTTCTGGTTTGCTTTATAGACAAACGCACCCTCCTCTTCTCTGTTACACATTCCCATTGATTTCCTCCTTCATCTCATCTTCATTATTTGTTGAATCTGAGCTCTCCCAAACAGATTGGAAATTATGGATAGAACAGCACGTCTAAATTTATTGTTCAGCCAGGACGAGGCCTTGTTGAGACTCGATACTCAGCTTCGAACTGTGCCTGAGGTTCAGTCCAACCGGGACTCTAGTTCTACCAATGATAACGTCAATACTGGGAGGGAGCCCTCGAAACCTACCATTTCACAGCTGGCGCAGAGCATCGGACCCTCTAAACCAGATGCCGGCAATGAGCGACATGAGAACGCGCGAGGGGAGGTTTCCAAAAGCGTGACTCCAATCCCTGGATCTTCTACGCAGACAATTCCGGTCTATACCTCCTCTTCTCGAGAAGGCTCTGATGTGCCTCACGACGGGACTTTCTCTCCTTTGGTGACAATCTCAAGGTACGCCTACAAGTACATCAAAGGCCCGCTATCACAGAAACTGGCTAGCGAATTCTTCGATGGAGGCAAGTTCTGGAACCGATGTTGGAATCTGTGAGTGTTTAACTTGTTCCAATTGCAGTGCCCCTCTGACAATGCAGGTACTATATCAAGCTTCCACCTCTTACAGGCCCTCGTCATCTGCTTCTCGTGCCCACTGCCCAGGTCCGTGCCTTTTTCCAGGAGATTAATCGTGCCCTGCAGTGCAACTTTACTCTATCGGGTGAAGGACTGATTCTTTCCTTTCAAAAGGAAGGCTTTCCGCAGCCCGTATTCATAGGCAGAAGCATATGTCGGGAAACGAAAGACCGCCTCGAATCGCAAATTCCTGTCTCATCGGAGGCACCTCGTCCTTCATCTGGAATGGACGAGCAGTTCCTTGCCTTTGAACAAATGGTAGAGACCGCATGGGAAACAACCAGAAACAAAAAGAAGCCTTCTAAGGCCAAACAGCAACAACGCCTGCAGAATCAACGGCGCCTAGTTGAGGGCCTCCGACGAACACAGAGTTACCTGGGTCTACGCTCCAGTGAGGTAGACGACCTGATTGATGATGTGGCCTGGGAGGAAAAGAAAGCCCAGGACCCTATGCCTGAGACCCCCAAGCCGCTGCACATGGACAAGCCGGCACCGTTCCCTTTCTGGATGGAGCCTGTTTTCATTAGTATCGATGTGGAATCTAACGAGCATTATCATAAGCAGATAACGGAGGTGGGCATCTCCACTCTGGACACCTTGGATCTCGTCGGCATGTCTCCAGCCGAAGACGGGGCCCATTGGAGGGACAGAATCAAGTCGCGTCATTTGCGTGTGCAAGAATACGCTCACCATGTCAACCAACATTTTGTCGCAGGCTGTCCCGGGAACTTCGATTTTGGGACCAGTGAATGGGTCTCAGCCAATGATCTGGGAGCCACTGTACAGGACGCCTTCCAAGTCTCATCTTCGTCGTCTCCAACGCGTGCACCACGTCATCTGATCCTCGTTGGACATGCTATAAACAGCGACATCCAGTATCTCCGCCAGATAGGAGTACGGATGGAGCGCAAGCCGGAGGGAACTGCCGGGTTTATAGGGACGGTGGACACAGCGGAGTTCTTCCGTATCATTCGCGGCGAGCCGACCACGCGCAAATTGGCAGATATCCTCCAGGAATTCAATATGACCGGCTGGCATTTGCACAACGCGGGTAACGATGCGCGATACACCATGGAGGTGATGCTTTGCATGATGCTGGAACATAGCCGATGAGGGGAAGAATCACTGACAGGTCAGATTGACGATGCCAAAGCTGTAGTTTTTTTAAGGTTCGAAGAATGATTCGGGGTATGATCTTCAGGGGTAATGCAGTAGTCGACAGAGTCTGGATGTAATTGAATGCACGATGGACAACAGCTCAGGCAAGATTAAACTCTAATTCATGTTGTTTTATGTATCCACCGAGGTCTAGATCCCACTTCTTCGACTCAACCCAAGCTGTGAAGGCATACAGAGTATTGTGAAGTGGACCCATTAATACTCACCGGCTAACAATGCAGCTAAAGCGGATGCTCATCGACCTCCCTCCACAGCGTATAGATTCAAGCACACACATCCTATAATATCCAAGCCATATCATCAAAGTGAATTCTCATATAAAAAAAGTGGCCTCACACCCGAACCGAACGCCCCAAACACAAGCATCCAGGACACATCAACAAATCCCTCCCAAGGCAAATATTAAATGAGTATAAAAAAAAAAAAAAAAAAAAAAAAAAAAAAAAAAAAAAAAAAAAAAAAAAAAAAAAAAAAACCTGACGTAACCATATCCCCCAAACCCCTCATAAAACAACCCCACCAAACCAAACAACCTCCATAAATAAACCCACTCCAAACACATAAATCCCAACCTCACCACTCAACCACAACCATACCAAAAACCAACCCAAAACAAAAACAAAAACAAAAACAAAAACAAAAACAAAAACAAAAACAAAAACAAAAACAAAAACAAAAACAAAAACAAAAACAAAAACAAAAACAAAACCCACGCAAAATGCCCGAAGGACTAACCACGCACCTCAAAACCCACAACCCCTCCACCTACCACAGCGCCACGACGCACCCGTTCCTCCTCGCCGCAGGCAAGGGCCTCCTCCCCAAGACCACACTGTCCAAGTGGCTCTCACAAGACCGGCTCTACGCGCAATCCTACGTCCGCTTCATCGGGCTCCTTTTATCCAAATGCCAGCTTCCGCACGCGCCCTCCAACAACGCCGAGACAGCACTCGAGCGACGCATCGTCGCAGTCCTCATCGATGCGCTGGTGAATATTCAACGCGAGATTGGCTTCTTCGAGGACGTGGCTAGGGAGTATGGGCTGGATTTGGCGGTTGTGCCGGAGGGCGAGGAGACGTTTGGGCCCGGGACGATTACGCAGGCGTATATTGATTTGTTCATGTCGGCGGGGAGTCCTGCGGTGAGTTTGTTGGAGGGGTTGGTTGTTTTGTGGGCGACGGAGGTGTGTTATCTGGAGTCTTGGGAGGGGGCGAAGGGGGTTATGGCGGGTGGGAGTGGTGGGGAGAAGGATTTGGATGGCGGGGCGCTGAGGGAGAGATTCATTCCGAACTGGACAAGTGTGGAGTTTAGGGAGTTTGTGGAGGGGATTGCGGACGTGGTGGATGCTCTGGCGTCGAGGGTCCTGAATGAACCAGACGACGTGGTGCGACGGTGTGAACGGTGGTGGAGGCAGGTGAAGTGGCTGGAGGAGAGGTTTTGGCCGGATGTGCCTGATGTTGATCAGGCATGAGGTGGGGTTGGCACGCAGTGAAGGTCATGATATGATATGGTATAACTGATAACTAATAGATATAGGTACATTATCTCATTGCTCACGTCAAGTACATCACAAAAGCTGGAACCAGAGAACCTCCTGGTTAAATATCACGACACCATCCATCCATTCTGTTCACTCCGTTCTATGCGGGTCTGCTCTAGCAAATAATGTCGTAAGGGAAGCCATGTAATTCATACGGGGATATCAAAAGACAAGCAAAGGCAAAGGTAAATCAAACAATTAGGAGGTTGCAGCGCTGGTGCGAGCGGCGTTGCTCAACTGCCGATGGTACGATCCAATCGGTTGAAAGCCCCTTACCACCGAGTCAGTGATGAGTCCAGCAACGTATCATCATCTTGAGCAAAACTCACCTCGCAAGATCAAAACCACCTCCATCATCTTCATCTTCATCGTCTCCGAGGTCCCGGCCCGCCCCGTTCGTCGCTGACCGGACCGCCGAATCATGTTCACGCCGCGGGGGCAGCGATCGTCCAGTGCTTAAACCGTTGGCTGTACCTGGCTTACTAGGGCTGACCAAATTCGGAGGTGGCGGACTGCTGCTCGGAATGCTGCCCAGCCCATCCCCAGGGTCACCCTTGAGCGGGCTCATGTCGGGAACCGGGCGGGCGGGCGTACTACCAATATCGGCAAACTTCCAGAACTGTGCCGGCGAGCTCATGGGCATAAACTTGGATGGAATTTGCGCGGTGCTAGGCGGAGGCAGGCGTGGTTGCTGTCGTTGTGGTGCCGGTGTGATCATGGACGATGGGCCTTCGTCATAATAGGAGGACGATAAGATCGGCGGAGAAGCTACATTGTCAGACAGTCCATACCGGAGGCTTGTGCCATTGCTGCTATTCTTGATAGCCGAGCGCGCAGGCAATGGGGATGGCTCCTCGTAGTCTCGAACAGGCGGGCGGAGAGGATGATCGTGGGGGCCGTTCCGGCTTGCCCGTGAACCCCGTTCCGGCGTGTATGCCTCAACCGGAGCGACGGGGAAAGAGCTAAACCCGGGCGACGACACTGGAGGGGACTTCTTGCTGGAGAAAACCGCCTCCATACCATTGGCTCCACGCGTGGCTGGATCTCTGGTAGCGGGGGAGGACGGTGCCGACGACTGTGTCCCCTTGCGGAGCTGCTTCTTCCAATATTCCTCGCGGTATTCAGGGGCGATCTGCCACTTCATTCCTTTTCCTGGTTCATCGGTACGACGGGGCACTTTTTGGAAAGCCTTGTTCAGGGATAAGTTATGACGAATCGAATTCTGGTCATGGGTTAGGGCAACTGAGTCAACGATCACTATGTAAGACATCACGTACCTGCCATCCACTCTGCGAGTGACGATAGAATGCATATTTGTCCATGATCCAATTGTAGATGTTGTTGAGTGTAAGCTTTTCTTCTTCGCTAGAGAAGATTGCTTGCGCGATCAACGTGGCATAGCTGTAGGGAGGCTTCAGGTCCTTGGCCGAGTCCTTGCTGTAGTCAATCTCCTCCGTGCTCTCCATCATCATGCCTCGGTTATACAACGGGGACTGCTTGGCGGTCCGGGCGCCAACAGTGTCAGGGGACCGTGGCGGCGGCGTTACTTGGCGCTTGAGGAAGTGCGGTGCTGGCGCCAAAGACGGTTGACCGGTTGGAGGGCGAGTAGTCTCGGGGGCACCCGATGGCGCAGGGTGGGGATGGGCATGTTGCGAAGCGTCCCACGCGGCTACATCCTCCTCACCGTTGGCAAGACGCTGAGCGCGTTGGACGAAACCGGGATGAATGTTGGCTTTATCGCCGGGAGTAACGAACATCATCTGGGTGTTGGCAATTTCAATGATATCACCGCACGAAAGGATCGCATCAGTGCCGCGCTTCAGGATGGCATTGTTTAACCGGACGCCGTTACGACCATTCACACGAATATGCCAAGAGGCTGTCTCCTCGCCGTCGTAAAAGATCTCAGCATGCAGACGCGATACGAACTTGCTAGGTCCTAAATCCACATTCACCTCTGGCAGTGCCCGTGCAGCGATGGTCACGGGGCTTGACTGCTCATCTAGCTTCTGTTCACGATCCGGTTCGCGCCCAATGTTGACATGGAGAGTTTTGACATAGTACGTCCAGTTGCGGCCGGCGATCTTTGCATAGGCACGGATACTCTGCTTGTTCTCTGTCTTCGTATTAGAGTGATCGCGTATCACGCGCACTTCTTCGCGGGCGGCGTCGAGATACGATATCACCATATCCACAAGGTCCTGGTTCTCCGACAGTTCATGTTCCGGGGACGAGTGGTCCGCCTCGTCAGCGGATTCTCCAGTCTTGACGGGACGAGGATGAGGGGAGGTCCGTTCGACCTGCAAATAGGAAATTAGTCACCGAACAACATAGAGAGGCTATCCCAGTCAAGCAGTGCGACCACACACCTTGCGCTTTTTATTTGACGGCCGCGTAGGCGAGGAGTCCGGAGCTTCCGCATCTGACGTCTCTTGTAGTTGAATTTCCTTGCGCCGCGCGCGGCGCCTGTTCGATAGTGGCATATTTGATCAAACAGTGTTGTGAATTCTGGAAGAATTTTCTGGTGTCGGTTTTTTTTTTTTTTTTTTTTTTTTTTTTTTTTTTTTTTTTTTTTTTTTTTTTTTTTTTGGGTGTAGATAATGTCGTATCGCCAATATTGAATCAAGGATCGGTTGTACGTTCTGTGCGCGATTCACGGACCCATATAATTCACGAAATTCTGCGCCAAGCGAACAAACAAACCGATTGACGTAGGAAGAGGTTGTAAGAAGGCGAAGCGAGGACGGCAGACAGATGACCCAAAGAGGGCAAAAGAAAACCTTGAACCGGGTGTTCGAGAGGGTAAGAACCAAAGGATCGTTTGCCACCGCGCAAGACGCGATCTGGGCGTGGCTGGCTTATTATTATTCAGCCACGGGAATTTTTTTCTGAGGGCGGTTCTCGAGATCTGATGTGAGGACTGTCAAGGGTGACCTGGTTGAATTGGGATTCCAGGGAGTCGCACGGGTGGAGGAAGCGGGGGTGGAGCGACAAAGGGCTTGTTGTTGGGAGCGAAGATACGACTGTCTTGAAAGGAAAGTGGGAAAAGAAAGAAAAGAGAAGCGATGACGATAACGCGCGCCGGTGTTTGGGGCGTGACCGCTTCCGTGTGGGGAAGTGCAAGTCGGTTGCTGACGGATCGTCTTTATCAGTTTTTAGTTCTCTGGAAATGACAGTCCGTAGATCCAGACCCAAAACCACACACTCACTTTCTTTCTCTTTGTCTCGCAACAATGAATGGAGAAATGTTCAACAATTCTGCCCCAGTTGACTTCCTGGCTCACCCAACCTTTTAATATGGGAATATTTATAAAAAGAAACCCGGGATTCCCCAATCCTACCTCCGTGGACCTCGAATGGACTGGATGAGATCCCCGCTGCCGTAAACAGACAGTGGAGACCGACCCAGACTGAAGGAACAGAGGACAACAGGCCCTGAAAATAGAGAGGTTATGGGGAATAAAAGCGAGACAAAGACCCGGCAAATTCCCTGAAAATCCCACGAAGAAATCAAATGAATCCCCGGTTGCAGGAATTGTCGAGATCCTTTGCATGTTTCTCCCCCTTGAGCAGCATACTCCCTGGTCGACGACAAATTGAATCCTTCCTCCCTTACTCAATCACCCGAGTAGCCCTAACTAAGATTTCACTACTCATGCAGCCATTCCTGCGACAACCCCAACTATTCAATGAAGGGTTACGAGGAATTACTCCCAACAAGAAGTCGGCAATACGGAGTCCTCGGGAGTGCTGATCATGGGTCAACAAACAAAACCGAACGCTGCTTAATTCTTCCTCCACTCCTGTGTGATGCATCCAACCAAACCAGATTTTGGCCTGCAGGGAAAACACCGGATCGGGCAATCAGAAAGCATTCTCAAATTCCACTTTAACGGTACTCGTGATGGTCAAACCACCAATCCTGAACAGTGAATCCATGTTTCTGTTTGCGTCATTCCTCCCGTCTTCAGTTTAGCGTCTGCCCAGTGGAATGTCTTAAGTTTGATCTGCATGACCTCGAGACAAAAAACTGTTTTTGTTGATTGAATTTTTCTAGAAAGGCAAGGTAGCATCATAGATCCCTCCCCCTAAATATTTATTACCTTCTCACTCCCTATATGTCTATCTAAAACCAAAGGACATTATACCAGAACTAGGCCGTAACCAAATAAACAAACATGGTTTGGTTGCAAACGGTCGGATTTAGTTTTTCCCTGTTGATTTCATGCGTCTGGATTGCACCCGAAAGGCATTCTGTGCAGCCTGACCAATCATAGTCTAATTTTCCCTCATTCCTCACGTCTTAGCAGGTCTACGAAACTTAGAAAAATGCCCGGGTCTTTGGAGAGAAATATTGATACAGAAACTTTAAACGGAAAAAAAAGAAAAAAAGATAAATTGTACCCAAATCCTGTCCTTTGCATTCGAAACTCCCCACTATACAAGAACAGAAATCTTCGAACCAAACGTTCTTACAAACAACAAATACACGACCCGCAGTTACAAAAAATAGTAGGTATTCGGTAGTCAAGATCCACGATTCAGTGCAAAGTAAAACAAGAAGAAAGAAGACAAACTCCCACAACGGTTTCGTAACGAGCCGTAAAGAAAAGGATGCGCAAGAGTAGAGTAACGGATCATGGTAATGCAAACAGAACAGTTTGAAGAGTATCGCTTAATTAGGCATTTTAGAATCACCATCCTCGTCGACTCCCCGTAGTGTCGGGTACATCACCGTATCACCTCCCGCCTCAGGTTTCACCGGGGACTCCGATTTGGCAGGACGAGAAACAGGCTCGCTCTCCACGCCTTCCATGTGGCCATCATGTCCAGCCTCTGGTGTGCGCGACTCACGAGTCATGCCTGAGTCGCCGTCATATTCACCCCGTTCGAGGCGAGACGCGATGTAGTTGCGCAGGTATTCGATAAGGCGGACTTTTTCAACCCACTGCACATCTGATCGCTCAGCGACTTCAGTCGCGGCTTGGGCCGTCCGTAGCGTCTCTGCTTCGGTTGCGGAGCCCGAAAGAGCAGGGTCGATCAAACTAGCGGAGATGCGACCGGGTGATGAGGGTGCTTGACGCGGCTTAGCAGGTGGCGTCCGCTCTCCGTCATCCTTGTTATCATGAGAGAGATCCATTGGCTCAGGTAGATGACGCTCCTCAGGTCTTGCGCGTTGTAAGGTGCCACCGGTGTACCGACGACGATCATCATGGTCAAAAATACCGCCAAGGGTGGATGGAGGAGCTGCGCTCGATGTGGTCGGGTAGCCAGCGGTCATGCTGTCAGGCATGGTAGCCGATGGAAGGCGAGGGTACATGCTTGAGCCACCGTCATGATGAGGGGGGGATACCCGGTTTGTCGAGGGCAAAGAAATAGGCGACCGACCAGAGGTATACGACTGTGCACTCGAGGGCGGTGTGAGAGCGGGCGTTCCAGTAGGCGAATGGGCCGCAGGATTGGCCAAAATGGGGCCTGCAGAAGTGGTGGCCGTAGCATGGCTTGGAGGTAGCTGAGTGGGTGGCGAGTGGGTGGTGCGATAACTCATGCCGCCGTGAACGTAATGGGCACCCGGCTGAGCAACACCAGCAGCTGCCACATTGTCGTCATTCTCGTAGATAGTATCCTGCATCTGTTGCAAGAACTGATCGATGTTGATCAGGTCGTTCTTGGTGCGGATGTTACTCATGGGAGGAAGATGATACGCAGGAGCGGGAGGATGGCCACCAGGGCTGTAGCCTCCGCCACCTACTGCCACAGGCGCAGGCATGGGTTGATATTCAGGGAGTGGGCCGCCGCTGAGAATGGGGAGAGACAGGCTTTGTAAACCAAGTAGGCGTTGCCCAACCGCGGCGTAGGAGTTTGGATCGAACTGGCGACGCTTGAGGTCACCGAAGAACTCGTTCAGGGCATCATATCCACGTTTTTTCGACTCGTACGATGCGTGGCCGGCTTCATGTCCATGGTTTAGCGCATAGTAAACATTGCCGTAAGATGGGTTCGCCGGTTGAGGTGGATGATGAGATTGATAGTACTGAGGAGCTCCGTGAGCATAACCCTGGCTGGGGACGGGGTTCAGGGCGGGTTCGAAGTAATGCGTAGCTGTAGCATAGCCTAGAGCTCCATAAGGTCAGTTACGCAGCAGATACTGCTGGAGACATAGGGACACACCTTTTGCTGGGTTACCTCCAAACATTATATCTGGATTCCGGGAACCCGGTTCAGGTGACCGAACCAGTACTGAATCATCTGCATGTGTCTTGACATGTTTCTTCAGATCCTGAGGACGCTTGAAGGCCTTTCCACAGAAGTCACACTTGTGGGGTTTCAAGGGCACATGTACTCGGATATGAGAAGTGATATGATCGCGCTTGACGGTGGTAGTTCGGCAACTGCCCCATTGGCAGGTCAAGTTGAGGTTATTTGTGCTCTTGCGACCTACGTGACGTTCACAGACGTGTTCCTGGTAAAATGATTAGCTACGTTCAAAAAGCAAGCGCTCGAAGGGCTCCGATGTGATATGCTGAAGGGACAAGTGGCAGCAATGCCTGCTGTGTAGGGTGACAATGATCGCAGAAGATATGAGACCACGGTAAGCTTACATAGAGGGACTCGGGGGTAGGACACTTCTCGGAGCATCCTTGCCAAAGGCAAGACAACTCTTCGGTCGGGCGCGCAGCACCATTAACAGGGGGGGATGCTACAGCTGCAGTCGCTGCGGCAGCAGTTGCCGTCACCGAGGATGTCGTGGTAGCAGATACTTGAGGCGGCGACTGGGTTTGGGGTTGCTCCTGCACGGTCGACGCGGCAATAGGAGCAGCCGCAGTCGAAGGGGAGGTGGTGTCTTGGGGTTCCGACATTGCCAAGAAAATTTCTTGTCCTTTTCTTGGGAGCGGAAGTTGTCGTGAAAGGACTCAATACTAGACGAACCAAGAGAATTATCCCTCAGTAGACAACCAAAGATGTCCAGGCTAAGGGATCTTTGGCTAATAAGGAAGATCAGGGATGAGGAACGGTAAGACGCGATGAGTTGGCTTTGACAACAACTACCAATGCAACACGCGATTGTTACCGAATATAGAAACAGTTATGAAAACACAAGGTGATAGAAAGAAAAAGGGGGAGAGAAGGGAAAGACTGGGAAAAGACAGACAGGACAAGTCAGGGGGGGGAATATGGGGAGAGATAAGAAGAGAGGAAGTCTTGGAAGCAAGAGGGGGAGGCTTGGGTTCTTGTCCTGTGCGGACATCCGGAGCCGAGCCTTGCCCAGAAAAGACCGCTTGCACAGCCCGGCGGAGGACAGGGACAAGACGACAAGACCGGGCCAAGAATGATGCGGGGCTGTGGCGTTCCATACTTCCCGTATTGGTCTGGTACGATACCGCACGTGCACGCAAATTAGGCCACCACTTTTCTCCTTGTTCTATTCTTTCGGTCATCGCAAAGTAAGAAAAAAAAAAAAAAGAAAAG